CTGATGGAGATCATAGTCGAGATCTGGTGGAATACAGGATGCTGGCACACCTGTTTGGAGCTACATCCTCTCCTAGTTGTGCAAGTTTCGCTTTAAGGAAATGTGCAGAGGATAACCAGGAGCAGTTTAGTCCAAAGGCAGTCGCCACCGTGCTGCATAATTTCTATGTTGATGATTGCCTGGTATCAGTGGGCTCTGAAGAGGAGGCAGTGTCACTTTATGAAGAACTTCGTGCTCTTTCTGCTAAGGGAGGCTTTCAGCTCACCAAATGGACTAGCAACAGACGTGCTGTCCTTGCTGCCATACCTCAACAAGAGAGAGCCATGGAGGTGAAGGATCTGGACTTGGACAATGACACACTGCCAGTGGAAAGAGCATTGGGAGTGCAATGGTGTGTCCAGTCAGATTCATTCAAGTTTAAGATCACGCTCAGGGACAGACCTCTAACAAGGAGAGGCATCTTGTCCACCGTCAGCTCTATCTATGATCCTTTGGGGTTCCTGGCGCCTGTTGTGCTATCTGCCAAAAAGATCCTTCAAGACTTGTGTAGACAACAGCTTGGTTGGGATGATGCTCTGCCAGTCGCCGTTGCCCAGGAGTGGATGGTTTGGCTGGAGGAGCTACATCAGCTAGAGGATTTTAAGGTCAACCGGTGCTTGAAGCCTCTTGACTTTGAAGAAGTTGCTTCTGCTCAGCTACACCACTTTGCAGATGCGAGTGAGGATGGCTACGGGACGGTGACATACCTGTTACTGCATGACATCCATGGACAGGTGCACTGTGCTTTTATAATGGGTAAGGCACGTGTGGCTCCATTAAAGTCGATCACCATCCCTCGCATGGAGTTGACAGCTGCAGTGGTTGCGAGCAGAATGGACAAGTTGTGGAAGAGAGAGCTGCAAATGCCACTGCAGGAGTCAGTTTTTTGGACTGATAGTACCTCTGTATTGAAGTACATCAGAAATGAAACTTCAAGGTTCAAAATATTTGTGGCAAATCGGGTCTCTGAGATACATTCTTTGTCCAACTCATCTCAGTGGAGATATGTAAATACATCGAGTAACCCAGCAGACTTGGCTTCGAGGGGAGCTAAGGTTGAATCTTTCCTGAAGACTGACACTTGGGTGTCAGGTCCCAAGTTTCTGGTTGAACCTGAAATGAAGTGGCCACTAAACCCTGATGTCGCTGGAAGGGTTTCTCCAGAAGATCCTGAGGTCAAGACCATCGTCTTGGTGAATGCAGCCCAAGCTAATGAGCAGACTGATGCAATTATGCATTTCATTAACCATTTCTCCTCTTGGGTCCGGTTGAAAAGAATGGTGGGCTGGCTTCTGAGGTTCAAGAGTTTGCTGAGGGATCTTGCTCAATGGAGGAAGCAATTCAAAGCTGTTCGATCTGGTCTGGATAAAGCGCAGCTTGAAAGGAGGCTGCAGGAAGAGATGCAGAATGTCAAGGCTCAGGCTGCAAGAGGGTCTCTTTCGATTGAAGAGTTTGATGATGCAGAAGCGGCAATCATCTGCTTCTGTCAAAGGAAGCGGTTTCCAGATGAGATATCCAGTTTGCAGAGAGGAGAAAGCGTGAAGAGAACTAGTCACCTTTACAGGCTTGATCCTATATTGGAAGAAGGTGTTCTAAGAGTTGGAGGCAGGCTTAGTAGAGCAGCTATGCCAGATGAGGCAAGACATCCTGCTATATTATCCAAGGATCTTCACGTTTCTGACCTTGTTCTCCATCATATACATCATCTGACAGGCCATGGTGGACGCAACCATATACTTTCAAATCTACGTCAAAAATATTGGATTCCTGGTGCCAGCATTGCAATAAGGAAGACTTTATCCAAGTGTATTGTCTGTCGTAGATTACATGCTGCTCCGGGACGACAGCGGATGGCAGATCTGCCCCAGGACAGAGTTTCTCCTGATGAGCCTCCATTCACCCGAGTTGGGGTGGATTGTTTTGGGCCTTTTGAGATTAAGCGAGGAAGGGTCACAGCTAAAAGGTATGGTGTCATCTTTACATGCCTGGCAGTAAGAGCCATACATTTGGAAGTGGCATCATCTTTAGACACTGACTCCTTTGTGAACGCCCTTAGACGGTTCATAGCGAGACGGGGTCAGGTGTTGGAGATGCGGTCAGATAATGGCACGAACTTTGTCGGAGCCGAACGCGAACTGAGGGAAGCTATTGGAAAATGGAATCAAGCACAGATCAATGATGCTCTTCTTCAGAAGGGAGTTAAATGGATTTTCAATCCCCCCTCCGGGTCGCATTACGGTGGAGTGTGGGAGAGGTTGATAAGGTCTGTGAGGAAAGTGTTGAACTCCATTCTGAAAACACAGAACCTGGACGAGGAGTGTCTTCACACGGTCTTTTGTGAAGCTGAGGCTATTATCAACAGCCGTCCTATAACCAAAGCCTCCACCGACCCAAACGACTTGGAAGCGTTAACCCCGAATCATCTTTTGCTTCTTAAGTCCAAGCCTTTATTGCCACCAGGGGTGTTTCAAAGGGAAGACATATATGTTCGTCGCCGTTGGAGACAAGTACAGTATATGTCTGACTTGTTTTGGAAACGCTGGGTCAAGGAGTACTTGCCACAACTTCAGGAGCGCCAGAAGTGGCAGAGTACTAGACGAAACTTCGTTCCTGGAGACGTGGTGGTCATTGTGGACGATTCTGCTCCTCGCAACTCGTGGCTCACTGGAAAGGTGGTGCATGCTGTTCCTGACAAGGGAGGACTTGTGCGTCAGGTTCGCATCAAGACTAGGAGCAGCTATCTCGACAGGCCCATCACCAAAGTGTGCCTACTTCAAGAAGCGGAGGAGCCATGAAAGGCTGCAGGGACTTTTCATCCTTTGTGGATATGGACAATTTGTATTGATTTGGACACTTGTGCTTGTGAATGGACTCGAATTGAAGACTTTCAGGTTTGAAGGATTATTTGCTAATTGCTACAGATTTTGGGTTGTGGGTAAGGAATGTCTTGTATGTGATTTAGCTAACATGTTCATTTTCCAAGTTTGTCTTCTACATGTTAGTAGTGTTGTAATTATTGCTTTAGCATAATTAGGGGCCGGAATGTAGGAGCCATACATGTAAGTTTGTATATTCACAGGCGTGGTTTGTGTGGGCACACTGCATTGGCACTTTGGTGGAGGGTGTGTCACTGTGGGTTGTACTCCGAGATTATTTCTAACTCCACTCACCTGTTCACCTATTCGTTTGGCTTTGGACCATGGTGTGGGGTGAATGTCGGAAGTGAAACTCTCTGTTGACCGCTTCGCTTTGAAACATTACATGATGTAATCTGTGTGCTTTGCTTTGTTATCTTTAATATTGCGTCTGTAAGTTATTGGAGCTGCATCGCTATGATGAAGTAATAAAAGTGACAGAGCCTCAGAAACAAGAATGGATGTTTATTGTGCGCGTCAACAATTATCTTCCGTATTTAGCCCACTGCGGCTCATTGAACTTTAAGTGATCGCCAGTTTAGCCGCAATACAAACAGTTCATTTTCCAAGAGAGAGAAAAGTCAGGGTCAGTGTTGTCAACATTATATCAGGATATAGTGAGAGGTTTAACACTGTCTGTGTTTCACACAATGAACAGTTCACACAAATAAGAAGATACTTATTCACAGGATAATATCTGCGCATGATATTGAAAGACTACAGAGTCTGCAACAACCTGGGTTCATATATTCTACAGTGGATCAGGTTGTTTAATGATCTAATGGTAACTCTGGAGTTCATCATGTGACACACGTGTCACTGTATGTGAACGGAGCTGCTTGTTTAAAGGTAAAGACTGAGATGTTATAAATGATGTTTCCTGGGTGTTTCTCTCACCTGATAAAAGATGGACTGACCGCTGTCATGATTTGAATTAATTTCCATGTATGAAATATATGTACATATGAAATAAAAACATATGTAAAAATTGTATATAAAACCTATTAGAAATTAGGGAACAATTTCATATCTGACATATATGTCTAAAATATATGTATGCTTATATTATAGACATTCTATTACATGAATATGTATCCATTCCAAAGCCTCTCAGTACATGTTGATATTATATACAGTTGGTTCCAAAAGAAAATCAAATATGAGCATATTGAATTTATGCAAATATAAATTAAATATATATTATTAACATATATGGTCGCAACATGTCATACCATATAGAAATAGTTTAATGTATGTACATTTACAAATTTTACAGTGGGTATTTCATATATGTAATAAACTTATATCTTATATATGTGATAATAATATAACCCCTTATAGATGACATATACGGCAACATCACTATTGATAAAGGGACATGTATGTCATATATTACATTTGGGAAGAAGACATGTAGACCTGTAGACGGTCTGTGCTGTTATGGGTCTGTTTACATGATGACTACCTGTGATATAATACGTGTAATGTAAGGAGCCAGTAGCGGTGTTTGATGAAGACGGCTCTATGTCACAGGATATCACTGCTGTACAGGAGGCTGAGGGTTTAGGACAGCAGACCTAGGACCAGGACCAGGACCTCTGCCACCCACGGTGATCATGAGTGATCAGGCCCGCCATCTGGCGGATTTAAAGAGCAAACAGCCCTTAAACGTGAGCCTTATTTCAGACCAGCTGTGTAATAATGACGTATTTTTCACCTGAACGACCTGAGTCAGACCCACATACGGGCCAGGACCAGGAAGATGGGACAGACCCTGACACTGGTCCTCGGTGGAATGCTCTATGGTGGAGCGATATACAGACACAAGAAGTAACCGACAACAGGCTCCAGAGACCGTGTCTTCATTATTAATATAAATGTAAATACTGGAAACTGCGAGTGTAATATATATTGTTATATTAAGATCAAACTGAAGAGGCGTGAAGTATTTTTTAATAACAGGTGACGTCAGACCTGTTGTCGTCTTGCGGAACTGTTGTGTTTAAGGCTCAGTTTCCAGCCGGATCAGATCACTGGGAACACGACATGGCGACCTCCTTGCTCCGCTTAGGGCAACTGGGCCTTCTCAAGGTAAAATCACCCGAATTGTGGCTTAGACGTTTTCATGTGGTCTGTTAGGAGACCACGTCCTGGCAGAGGTCAGCAGACCGGGGATCTAGGACACCGCAGCCGGAACGAGTAGCTCCGGGCGAGTGTCCTGTGCGCTCTGACCCCGACCCGCGGTCTTCTGGTTACCTGCACCGAGGAAAGGTGTAGACTGTGGTTCATTAACATGGAGTACACATGACAGTTTAAGGGGCAGAGTCAAACCTCCTGGAGCAGCTAGAGACAGAAAGGCCAGACTGATCACTGCATTCATCGCATTTATACAGAAATCACTGCTCATTTTTTACATTGTTCAAAATGTTGTTCTAAGCTGTGGATTTGGGGTAATGGTGCTAAACAGGTCATATTTTAAATTAATAAACTGCCAAAACACAATATAATACATCCTCATTTTATTAGGACAATAAGTATAAGTAAGTATAAGTAGGCACAAACACATTGTAGCACCAGTAACTCAGGAGTTTATATCTCTATGTATGTGACAGTATTGGTCAGAAAAAATGCACCTGGATATTTTCTTCAGTGGTAACATGGTCTCTGAGGAACAATGATGTCTCACAGTGGAATATGTAGGTATGTATGATACTCTATTTGTGAGTTGTGCTCAATGATTGGCTGGTTCCCTGGTTGGAAAACCAACCAAGCCAGTCACAGCTCTGTGGACAGGATGAATAATGAGGACGTCAATTCACCTCAAGTCAACTTACTATTCTTTAATATTTAGCATATTTATTCAATTAACTGGTCACTGATACCACAGCTTCTGTGTTGACAGGAAATTATGTCAATGAGAGAGATGCGTCACTGCTGATTGGGTTGAACAAAATAACAGCGGTTCTCAAAACAGGAAATGGCTGAATGAACATAATTAAGTCTGATTATCAGACTACAGAGAGTTCTGATAGAAGATGATCAACCCTGCTCTTTCTGATCAAACCAGTCTATTTCATTAATCCCATCAGTGTTTCGTGTGTGTTCTGTGTCTCAGTTGTCTCACAGTCATGTCTGCTTCTCTGCAGCGTCTCCAGGTGGAGAGCTGGGCCTTCCTGAGGAACTCAGCTGCTCCTCTCTGCACTCAGACTGGAGAACCAGCCAAAAAGACCAAGGCTGCGAGCAAGAGTAAGACCACTCCATTCTGTTAGACATTTTAATAACTGACTGATATTACTGATGTTTTCTTTGTATCCATAATTTTACATACTGTATGTGTATATATGGTCTGAATGTTCTCTCTTCCAGTCATCCATTTCACCCTCAGTGATAGATTCAGTCTATAATAAAGGGTAACTGATTGTGTATAATTGTGAATATAAATATTCTGACAGTTTAAACCAGGTCAACATCCAAGTGAGTTTTATTTTGATGACCAAATATTGTGTTTACATTTTTCTTTTAGTTTTTTTGGGCTGTTTTTATAAAACATGTGAAACTCCAGGAAAGCAGATTTGGGTGCGATGTACAGCACCAGTCAACAGTTTGGACACTCCTACACATTCATAGGTTTTTTTGTTTTTTGTAAAACAACACTGAGATAAACATGTGGAATTATGTAGTAAACAAAAAAGTCTTAAAAATATTTTGGATTCTTCAGTAGTCTCCATTAACCTTGATGACAGCTTTGCACAACATTGTCATTATCTTAACGAGTTCATAAGGTGATCACCTGGAATGATTTTCAGTTAACAGCTGTGCCTTGTCAAGACTTAATTAGTGGGATTTGTTTCCATCTTAATGTGTTTGAGACCATTTGGTGTGTTGTGTCATGGAGGGTTTGGTGTACAATAAGTAGAGCTATTGGACAACTGTACTAATAATATCTGAAGAACTGCTCAACTAACTAAGTAAAGAGAAACTACAGTCCATCATTACTTCAAGACATGAAGCTCAGTCAATCCAGAAAAGTGCAACAACTTTGTGCAGTAGCAAAAACCATCAAACGCTCTGATGAGAACCGTCCCAGGATTGAAAAAACCAAGGCAAACCAACACGACTGTGGGACGCCAAGTAGAAGAAGAGAAACACAAGACTGGATTTTAGACCAGTGGAAAACAGGACTTTGGTTCCAACCGCTGTGTCTTTGTGAGATGCAGAAAAGGGGAGTGGATGGTATTTGCATATATAGTCCCACTATGAAGCATGGAGGAGGAGGTGTGACGGTGTGGGGGGCTTGAGGGCACACTTCACCAGCATCATTACCACAGCATTCAGCATCCACATGTCATCCCATTAGTGGGACCATCATTAGTTTTTCAACAGGACAATCACCCAAACACACCTGCAGGCTGTGTAAGGCCTATTTAACCAAGAACAGAGTGAAGAAGTGCTGCATCACATGACCTGACCTCCGCAGTCACCTGACGTCGACCCACCTGAGATGGTTTGGAATGAGTTGGACCAGAAAGTGAATGAAAGAAGCCAACAAGTGCTCAATATATATGAACTTCTTCAAGCCTATTGAAAACCATTCCAGGTGACGACCTCATGAAGCTGGTGAGAGAATGAAGAGAGATCATCAAATCTAGAGGAGGCTACTTTGAAGAATCTAAAATCTAAAACATTTTGCTTTGTTTACACTTTTTTGTTTACCACATAATTCCATGTGTTATTTCATAGTGTTGATGACTTTGGCTTCATTCTACAATTTAGGAAATAATGAAGAAAAACCAGTGAATTATAAAGTTTGTCCAAACTGACTGATGCTGTAAATAATTAGCCATTTTACTGTAAGTGTTTATCATTATTAACGACTCTTGTTTCCTTCAGCAGCAGAGGCTCCAGATGACAGAGCAGCCCTGCTAGCCTACAAGACTTCTGTTGCCTTCCCTGTTAGATTTTCACAGCCTGGGCTTTTCCCAGCTCAGTCTGCAGGTGCAGCTGAACCAGTGGCCACTGCACAAACAGATGCAGCTGCCTCTGCAGCAGCTGTCACTGTGGCCAGTGAAGCAGCTGTAGCTCCAGCTGTCTCCTCACATCCAGCTTCCAACCCAGATGTTGCTCAGGTTATCGCTGACACATCTCAACCTATAGCTGACGCAGCAGCCCCTGAGCCCCTGGTTGCTGCAGCCACTGAAACAACAGCACAAGATGACACTCCAGCTGCAGCCTCAGCCTCAGCCGCAGTCCCACCAACCACAGCCTCCTCTGAGCCTGGTGATCCAGCAGCTGATGGATCCTCCTCCTCATCATCCAGCGACTCCGATTCTGACTCTGACTCTGACTCTGACTCTGAAGATGAGAAGTCAGAAGTGAAGTCAGACACCAAGACCTCAGTACCAGATGTGTCAGAATCCACTGTGAAAGAAGAAGAAGTCCATGAGGTCACATCAGAGGTGAAGAAAGAAACTGGTGAAGATAAGAAGGAAGTTCCACTAGAACATGAAGCTTCTCTTGCCTCTGGTGCTGAGGCTGCAGAAGAGACTGCTCCAGCAGCAGCAGCTCAAGCTCCCATGGAGACACCCAGTGTCAGCTCTGAGGAGTTAGTGGACTCAGCCTATCAAATTGTGGACACTGCCACAGAAGAATCTCCAGAGGTCACTGTCACCAGCACCACAGTTTCAGCTGAAGCTGCAGTAAAACCTGCTCCAGAAGTGATGGAAGACGTTGCATCTCCTGCTGTCCCTGATACTCAGGGTGAAACTCCAGCTGAAGATGTGACTGAGGCTGCATCTCCAGAAAAAGTCCCAGATGATCTTCCTGTTGAAGCTACTGAAGCTGCCCCTGCTGAAGTTGCTGCAGAGCCTGTAGAAGATGAAGCTGCCCCTGCTGAAGTTGCTGCAGAGCCTGTAGAAGATGAAGCTGCCCCTGCTGAAGTTGCTGCAGAGACTGCAGCTAAGGTTTCTTCCCCTGTGGAGAGTGCTGAGGAGCTGGTGGACCCCGCTCCAGTCGTAGCTGAAGCTGCAGGAGAGGAGCTGCAGGCGAAGGCTCCAGTTGAACCACCTGAGGGTACACACTACACCACCCTTCCCCCAAATCTCTTCTCCCTCTCTTCTTTGTGGATCTTAAGGCCCTACAGATAACCATACTTTTCTCTATCCCTCCTAAGTTCTGTGTAGTGTTAAGGTGTTAATCAGGCATCAGTTTTTCACATAAAGTAGTTGCTGTCACGTTATCCCTGGATTCTTTTCATTAACCTTATTTTGCTTTGTCCCATCACTGTGACATCTAATCTCCCATTACATTGGTTTCAGCCTGGTTGTTGTGCATGAGGTGGTTGTAGTGGTCATGTCTTTAACAACGCTTTCAGGGCTTTTTGATGCATTTCTCTTCTTATTAATTTGCTACTTCTTGAACATTGCCTTGCTTTCTGCACATTGTCATTAAGACTTGTCTGTCTTTGACCCACACAACCGTGTCGTCCCTGCCAATCCATGAGGAAGGCGACATTGCTTATTGCATACTGTGACACTAGGCTACGTCCACACTTATAGGTTTTGGTTTTAAAGCGCATCTCTTTAAAGTGCATCCAGAGACTTTCAGAAACTCTGCTGGACCTGTTTTATTTTGAAAACTCTGAGGTTGTGTTGTAGTCTGGACTGACAGAAACTGAGACCTTCGGAACGATGGCGTAGACACCCACGATCTGTCCTAATTGGCTGTGATCAGCCTCCACTACCAGTGGTGAATTCAACATGATAATGAATTACAGTGTTACTGACCTTGTTGTCTTTGCTTGCAGCTGTTGTTCACTTACATTCTTCATTTAAATGCTGCAACTGTCTTTACTGTTCCTCATTCAGAGTATTTACTGCTACTAATCAGCTGCAAAGTAGACATTCTAATTCCTGTTTACACTGGCACGCACATGCTCAGTGTAGGTGAATGGACATTATGTGTTGTCAGGTGTGTCTGGAAATGGAGCTGAAACACTCCTGGATGGAGATCATTTTGGTTTTAAAATGAAAACGTATCAGTGTGGACGCAGCCTGAGCCTGCTCCTCTTTCTGTCTTCCTCTCCTCCCTCTGTGAATCAGAAATCTACCACCTGTCTTTTTCTTTAACACCTCTTGCTCAGCCTCTCCTCACAGTTTCCAAATCCATCTTCATTCCCAGATTATTTCACTCATATTTAGCTCATTTTTATATATTTCTCACTTGTTGTTTAAAATGTCTGTTTGTATTAAATATGGGTTTCAGGGTTTCTGAGTTAATGTTAATGTTGCAGGTAATAATGCCATTGTTTGGTTTCATTGTGCCAGGTAAAGCTACTGCTAACAGTAATGTTAGAGTGCACATGGTCGTACTGTGGAGCGTCCTGTCCCTGACAGCAGCAGGATGAGCAGAGCTGGGAGTGGGTGGAGTCAGTCAAAGTATTTCAGGAAGCAGGATCACACATGATTATTCATCATTAGCTCATAGTCATGATATGAGCTCTGTATGTCGACCTGATTAGCAGCCAGTGGATCTCTCACACTTCTCCTGGAACTACTCCCTCCTCACCTTGGTCATTAATTTCACCACTTGTTCATTTCTTTCTTTTTTTAATGACTGTTAATCTGTTGTTCCCCTGAAAGCCTTTGGGATTTGCATAGATTAATGGAAAATGTAAATGTGTTTTGTAAATGTATTTCTCTCTGATGGTGGATGTATGATTTTTCTCTGTCTCTCACGTTGTTTATAACCTGACTATCACAGGATGCTGAGGAGTTTCCAGACAGATTTAGATTTAGAAGTAAATTAGTATTTAAAGAACATTATGCATCTTTGTCTAATCTAATGCACCAAAGCCTTGTTTAAAAAAGACACTGATTTTGACTTGTTTCCCTTTTTGCCCATTTCATGCCTCTGGCAGTTTTATTATTTTCTAGCATGGGCTGTCTCTACTGTCTGCTAGCACGTTTACCTTCACATGCTCTGAGACTTTTCACACCAGTGTGTCTCCACACTCTGTTGGGGGTCATGTTGCCCTGCCACCATAGGAAATGCTCCACTATAAACCACCTTTGTCAACATGTGTGAATATGTAAATGTATGGTCCCTTCAAAACCCTTGAAAATATTTTCAAAGCTCTTTCATTCTGTAGCTGTAGCCAGTGTTAATTACAGTGACAAGGGCACAGGTATACCAGATCCTGTATCGCATTTGGATAATCTTGTGCCACTTCTGTTTTAATGCATGAGCAGGAAGATTTGAGACACTAATCTTTGCTGCAGACTCAACTTTCCCTCATATGCCTCTTTGTCTTTTCCCTCCTTCTGCAGAGGCTGCAGCAGCGGCACCTCCAGAGCCCGAGGAGCCATTTGACAACAGCACCTATAAAAACTACCAGCACCACAGCTACACCCCCTACACATTTGCTGACCTGGATCTAGAGATGGCCAAGTTTCGTCTCCCTCAGCCCTCCTCTGGCAGACCCTCACCCAGACACTAGAGGAGCTGGCCTAGCTGCAGATCTTTACAATGATTAGAGACCATGGTGATGGTGCTGTCCCTCTTTATGTGTAGTCCTCCCCTCATCTGTCACAGCACGAAATTCAGCTGTTGAAATGTTATATTATTAAAGTACACAAATAGGAAATATAGTGTGTTTCTGCCTGGTGTGATTCTGTTTTGTCTTGCATAAAGGAATAGGTGTAGAAAGTGGCAGGCAAAGATCAAACGCTTCTTTTATGTTGCTTTTCTGCCTGGGGGGGTCATTTGAATAGAGCTGAGTGTGCAAGTGGTTTATCTGTATTTCTATTTTAATGATTACAATTTTGACTCCCTTAGCCTGCCTCCCTGTACACACTGTCCTAATTATCCTGCCTGTATGCCTTCCTTTTCAAGTAAACAGTCAGCATCCGTTGTTATTTTTGTGTGTTGGAGTCGGAGGATGAGAGAATACGCATAAAGGAGTGTAAAGCTGGAGATATACATAGAAAACGTGTTGTGTAAATGAGGGCAGTGAATAACGTTTGCAAGCAAAACCCCAGCAGGGTGCAGAGGGACTGGTAGGCAGCGGGACGTCATGTCTCCGCCCACCTCATAAATATTCATGAGTCGAGCGCCCCTGCGTGCCCTTACGCGATGACGCAACGCCACAACTGCGGGTCCCGATTGCTGCAGCCGCTTGTCAGTGTGACGAAGATTGGCACTCAGGTAAGCTGTCACTCAAAATCGCTCTTTTTCCGTTCCCTATCAATCAAACAATCTGGGCCGCACGCAAAAATGCCCCGGGGCGAGGAACGTGGACCTAGTCAGTGCAGCGGAGTGTGTTTTTGGAAGGGAAACAGAAGCGGCAGAGCTCCGGGAAGAATAAAAAAACCTGTATACAAGAGAGGGAGGGGGGGGGGGTAAAAAAATATGTCGGCGTTTTGGGGGCAGAGGAGGATTGTGGAAAAGCAAAGGGCGAGAGAGCTAGAAACGAGGCCCGACAGTTGTATCGTTACCGCGGAGGGGAGGAGACGGATAGGGCAGCTGTCCCCGCTTGATTGATTGACTGATGTGGGAAGGATTTGAGGATCAACTGGGCTAGCCTGGTGTGCAGACAGTGCTTCTTAATAGCATTGCAGTCGAATTACTGTACACAGCTGACAATAAATGCATATTCATTTACAATGTTAATTCAAAACGGTAGAGCGACCAATGCTGTCTTATTTGGGCAAACGGCTCACATCGTATCAATCCGCAGCAGGGTTCTTTTTTTGCACCAGGCTCGCTAGTTTAGCTTGGTGTTTATGGCAGTGATTCCCCTTGCTAAATATGGCGCTTTGCATTTTGGGTGCACCGTACCAGCATGAGAAACACTTTTAAGTTAACAGTTAGCTACCTTGCTAATGTTAGCTGTAGCTCGGCCAGACGCTTGCATTTATGGGTTAACCTCAGATTGGGTTCGCGAGCTAACGCTAATGTGGTATCGGCGTTAGAGACTTGCTAGCTAAATATTGTGGAAAAACAAAGCATACACCAAATGAGCTGATTTGTCTGTGAATAACACTGCCGTTACCCCAGTCCGAAAGCAGCTGGTTTGTGTTAGCCCAGAGGGTTTCTGACACTTTATTTCCCCCTTGTCGCCACAAATGGTGCCTGAGCAGCTAACACTAGGCTAAAGGCTAAGTTCATCGTGGTGGGTGTGTTAATATCAGTTACAGGACATCGTCAACATATGTTCACTACTATTATAACAACGCTCCTCATGGTAAATTCACTCTTGTTTTATGGGAGCGGTGTGGACAGAAATGTGTCTGAATATCGACAAGAAATATAGAAATACATTTGTAAAGGCAGTCCCTCCATAAATGTTACTCCCTGTTTTTTTTCCCCTGAGTGCCTTTACAGTCCATTGTTTTGCCCAGATGTGTTTATTGTATCTGCACAGATTTGAAGCTTCCATTATATTATTATTGTTTCATAACTTCTATGTTTTCTTATTTTTGAGTGAATATTTTAACATAAAATTGTAAGTTTTTAATTCTTTATCCAACATTATTTTACGTTACGAAGTATTAATGTTCAACATTGATTATTGTAGTTTGAAATCAAACTTGCCTTTTCTCCCTTAACCATACCAGCCCTGTTTACAACGCTAATAATAATTTCACTCTGACAGTAGGATACTTGCATCATTAAAGCTTTTGTGCTAACACTTAACAGGTAGTCTAACTGAACCTATATGTATTGTGTAGGTTGGCCACCTGTCCCCGCTTTCTATAATGCTCCAGTGTTTGCAGCATCTGCAGTGAACGTGATGGCAGCCCAGTCGGTTTCCATAGACAAGTATCCAAAGGGAGAGCAGCAGGTGGGTGAGAGGGAGATATTTGGTTTGGGGCCTTCAGGCCGACACAACCTGCTCCAACTGGCTGAACTGCACTTTTTTTGCTTGTTTGCCAAAGACAAAACGCAATACTGAAAAATGACGCAATTACTCAAGTAATAACAACACTTACATGTCAAGCTACAGCTTATACTCTTTGTCCATAGATCCTCCATTTATTTTCAGTCACGCTGGATAGCCAAACAAAGGGAAACACTTAATAGTTTTAAGACTAGAACGCAACTAATGTTAATGCTATTACATCAGTTTTAGTAATCTGTTGGCGGCGTGCTTGTGTGTCTGGGTCAGGCCACCACAAATAAATCACTGTATAATAGACACTGATGCAATATAAAGCCCTATTTTTGTCTAGTATTTCTCTGTCTGTTCTCATGTATATTGCTTACAAAACATCTTTATTCAAGTGCCAAATTTGGGGGTGTCAGGAACTGAAAATAATCCATGACAAATGACAAATTTTACACCCCAAGCAAGTGATTATTTTTAGCCCATTTTTGCTCAATCTATGTCATTGTTGGTCTCAGGCACATGGTTGGGGATGGGATTTATGCTCATGGAAGGGATCCTGGGTAGCTGGTAGGCAGGCAAAGTGTGAAAATATGTGAAAGAAAAGGAGGAGAACTTTCCTCAAGTGGATCTTAGCAGGGGCAACAGTCACAATTTAATGTGTCCTTTTTTTTTGCATGAAGTGACAGGTGTGTTCACACAGGTTCTGGATTATATTTGAAACTACAGCCAGGTCATAACGCTGTATATTAGTGTTTAGGTGAACTCTGAGATTGTAACTGCAGATGCAGATTAAGTGCATCTGTCCATCAGAGATGTATTAAATACTATGATCCTTTTCAGTGCAACCACAAGAATAAATTCTCTCAAAAACCAGGTCACTCAAGACATAGTGCAGGTGATTAACAGGGACTGATACAGAACGGCTATTTCATGACATTATAATATCTCTTTATGTGTTGTTGATGATCACAGTAAACAAATCTTCATCCTCCTTTTTTAGTTTAATTTGTATTAAAACAGTTTTCCGATGTGTTTTCAGATCATGTCCCCATGACTCTTCAAAGATTTCATATTGAAGCAAGGCTCTGTGTTCAGCTTTGCCCTCCAGTTACCCTTAGTGTTCACATGATATTTTTATGTCTTTCATTCTCCGCCTTTCTCTTCACCTCGTCTGCCTCTTTCTGTCTCTCCATTGCTTTCTTTTCTCACTTGTTTCTCACGTTTTGTCTTTTTCTGCAGATGCAAGGTGTGGTAAAGGTAGACAGCGACGCGGAGCAGAAGTTTACTGAGGGGACGTTGGCAGAGCCGCCCAGCCCGGCACCAACCGAGCCGCAGACACCCATGGACGCGGACAAAGCCTCCATATATCGGTAGCCCTAATTCTGAGTGTGTATTCGTTTAGAGAGAGAGAGAACCAGAACAACACCCCTCTATTCTTACGTCTGAGTTCTTCTCTTTCCCTGTTTGAACTTCATTATGTTCAGATAGGCTTGAAATGAAACTATCCCAAGGAAAGCTCACATGATGTCCATGAAGGCCTCCCCTTTGCTCATGTGACTTTCATATTGCTCTCTGGCATCTGAAATTCAAAAGGGTTTGTTAATACCTACAACTGATTTTTTTTCTTGTGTGAACTAATGGAAGTGTTTGTTGTATTTTTATCACTGGCCACTTGAAGTCTAACCAGGGCTGCAAACAAGTCACACTCTCTCACAACAAGCTCATTTATTGGGTAGTATGTGTCGTGTTGTGGGCTGAATACTGTAGAGTCATATTACTGTGATCTTGTGTTCATGATAGATGAGGCTCAGTCTGTACAGCAGTTTGTCTTCACTTCATTCTGACATGATAGGGGTCATCATTTGTTTTCATGTACCCTCAACACCATTCGTTTAGGAAGTCATGCTCTGTTACTGGGGAGAAAGTAGAATTTGTTCTTTTAAAATGAGAGTGCTTTTCACTAACTTGTCCTGTTTTGTGTGGGGGGCTTTTACCTTTTTTAGGCATCCCCTATTCCCTCTGTTGGCCCTGCTGTTTGAGAAGTGTGAACAGTCCACACTGAGCTCTGAATGCATCACCTCAGCCAGCTTTGATGTGGACATTGAGAACTTCGTTCGCAATCAGGAGAAAGAGGGGAAACCCTTCTTCAGTGAGGACCTGGAGCTTGACAACTTGGTGAGATACCTCTGAATACCGAAGGTGGAACTTCTTAATTTCTTATGTTTTATTTTCCCCTCAAGCATTTTGGTGGAAGAGGATTTTTTCCCGCCTCTCTCACATAAAACAATTACAGTGTTTTAACCATTTCAATTGTGAACTACATATTTAGAGAGTTGTAGTTGACAACATAAACAGTCCTGTTCTAAAAGAGTGTTGACACCTGGAGAAAATTTGATCTTTATAGTGTAGTGACTACTACACTATAAAATAAAAAGACATAGAAACATAATTTGATGCAGGTTTTTAAATAGTTTGAGTCAAACTTTGTTGACAGAATTGGATTTGACTGAATATCAAACCCTCTTCTCTCGTTCATGTCTATTTACGATTTTTTGGAGGCTACAAACACAAGTAGATAACTGTAAACAAAACTAAGACATAGACATGAGGTATTTCACAAAGTGACACAAAGTGTGACCTTTGACCTCAGCCTCATGACTGTAGCCCTGTCCACTGCTGTTGTTTCTTACCTGTTAATTACAATACAGTACCTTCTGAGAATGATCGAACACCACAATCAGTGTCACTGACATAAATCTGACTCTGTGAACTCAGGTCGTTTAGCTGTTTGAAATACAACATGGGGTATTGTGCTGTAGCTGAACCTCTGAAACTCTGTGTCACTCTTGATCAGCTGAGTGACAAACACCGAAATAGTGTCATAAATATGTTTTAACCTCTAGTGTGTAAACCTTTGTTGTTTTAGCTCTTGCTCTTGATAGTCAGATCAGTGTCTGATACATTCTTGATTAAAGTTAGTCAGTAAGTTTCAAGAATAATGAATAAAAAATAACACTTACTTAATTGTTAGTTATGTGGTTTACAGGGAGTTATATAAACAAGGTGAGACCGGGACTCTTATCAAACCTGTGAAGTTTGGGGCTGATTGGACTATCTATACTTGAGTTTGAACAATTTCTTATTTCATGGTAAAAAATTTTAATTCACCATGCCCCCACAGCCACACCGTTAAACTCAAACTCAAAAGCGAAACAATTTAGCATAATGAAGATCTGAAATTTGTACCAAATTTTGAGTCATTCTAGTTAAATTTGGAAAAGGAATTTGTTAAAGTACAACACCGGTAAATAAAGCACCGAAATTTTACACTAAATTCAAAATGGCCGACTTCCTGTTTAGGGTGTCTCAATCCTGAGACCTTTTTTACATATCAGTTTCCATCACTTCTGACGCATGTGCCAGGTTTTTGAGTTAAAACCACAGCAACTTCCTCTTTCATGGTAAAACATTGAAATTGATAAACTCTCACATTTCACAGTAAAGGTATCATCAAGGTGTTAATGATTTTTCTGACTACCTTTGAGTTGGATGTGGTGAACGCACTTCATCACATCAGATATAAAATGTCTAAATTTCATTCCAATGTATATTTGAGTTACAACAACTTCCTGTTTGATGGTGAAACATCGAAATTCCCCACGTTGCCATGGACACGCCGTTCATCGAGAACTCAGAAGCTTCACAATTTAGCATCGCAACGGTCTTTAGATCAGATTTACACACATATGATGTAAATCTGATTTAATTCTCTTAGAGGACTTCACAAAAACTGCAACAAAATTACAGAGTAAATTCAAAATGGCTGACTTCCTGTTTGGTTTAGGATATAGCTCCAAAAGGCTTTTTGTAAATCTTGGGATGCTACATGTGCCTCCTAAATTTTGTACATGTAAGTGAAATGGCTGCCTTGTTGAAATTTTGTAGGCAGCGCCCCGTCAGGCTATCTTGCTATGCCATGCACAAGACCAAAACAACGTGTTTGTCTATGCACTTACACATTTTTTGCTAATTAATTTTGGTTACAAAGAATAATAATAAACAGCTGTTATAATGGAGTTCTTGACCTTTAGTGCCAGGGACCGTTCCAATACTGGCACTGAAGGGCCCCCTGTGCTCAGGCCCTAAAAATGTGTGGATAAAATTAGAACCACATGAAAAAAACAGCACATCAGAAATGTTTGGAAATTCTAAAATCAAGCAAAACACAAGTGGAAACAAAGTGAGACAGATTTTCTAGGTTAATAGTCTAAATCCTCAACATCACACACTGAAGAGGACACAGGAAGCTTGAGAAAGACAGTCAGTCTCCCTTTAGTAGACTGCCATGAAACTCTTGTATTTTTTTTTCTACCTCTGACCTTCAGATGGTCAAAGCCATCCAGGTACTTCGGATCCATCTGCTTGAGTTGGAGAAGGTGAGTGACCTGTGCAAGGACTTCTGTAGCCGCTACATCGCCTGCCTCAAGACTAAGATGAACAGTGAGACCCTGCTGAGTGGGGAGCCAGGCAGCCCATATTCCCCAGGACAAGGCCAGGCCCAGAGCTTCTCCCCCACCAAGACCCAGGTATGCACTGTAGATGGACTGTATGCATCACCACTAATCAAATGCAGGGACAAGAACAAACCACCAGCAATAGCTGCATCTGTTGGTGCCTTTTAAGTGAAAATCTCACTCTGTTGTTTTGGATCAGGTTCCAGGATCCAGGTGTCTTTAACGCATTTCAGTCTATTTTACTTCTCTGACCTGTTCCACAGTATTGACAAGTTAAATCAATGTGGTTTAAAGATCAGGCTAAAAGAGCCATCAACGTAACAAAAGTACATGTTACTGAAGGCCATTTCCCTGTGCATACTCTGTTGTGCAGAACCCCAGTTCTATCTCAGGGACCATCAGTCCCCAAGGTCAGATTGTGGTGCCAGCGTCAGCCCTGCAGCAAGGGAATGTTACCGTGACAGCCGTCAACCCCACCCAGGTGGTCGCAGGTATGTCATCGTGGCATACAACCCCTCCCACAGGTACTGTACTGTTGTGACTGCAGGTTAGATACTGTTAGGTACCAGTGGGACACTTTGATCAGTGTGTGTGTGTGTGTGTGTGTGTGTGTGTGTGTGTGTGTGTGTGTGTGTGTGTGATATTCAGGTGGCACAGTGTACCAGCCTGTTACAGTCGTCACTCCTCAGGGCCAGGTGGTAACACAGGCTCTGTCTCCTGGGACAATACGCGTCCAAAACAATCAGGTAATACATCTCTCTCTGACTGTGATGCTGTTGTCTAAATCAGTGGTTAATTGCATTGCAGGAGATGCACATGACCACAATCATGACACTTTGTTGGCTCAAAATGGGTGCTGACAGAGAATAAAAAAATTAAATTGTATTCAAGTTTCATTCCAAAAACAGATTTAAAAAAAAAAAAAAAAAAAAAAACACATGCTGGTTAGGTTCAGGGTTCATTGGTGACTCTAAATGGCCTGTAGGTGTGAGTGTGAGCATGAATAGTTGTCTCTGTGTCAGCGACAGACTGGTGATCTGTTCAGGGTGTACCCCACCTCTCACCTAATGTCACCTAGTTAAGACAATTATTAGACCAGTGTCATGCCATCAGGACAAGCAAGGCAAGCACTGCTTCACCAATTAAAGCTAAAAGTAATCATCAACTAGAATGAAACTGAAGTGAAATGATCTCTCTCCTCACATCTGATCTCAGAGCAGCGTTCTGTCCCATAAAGGATCTCATGCCTGTTTGCATTGATCATTTAATTTACTGCCTTCTTGTGGTGGCAGCAGGGTATTGTCTCTGAAGCTAGCTTGACTTCCAGCCATTGTATCTATAGTTTCTGTCATTTTTATGGGTGACACTGTGTCCCATTGACAAACACTGGAGCTTGTCAAGCAGAGAGGACAGCAGGTTTTTTTTTTTTTTTTTGGAGGTTTGCGCAAGGATAATCCTGGATCTTTGATGGTGACTAGCTACAGCCAAAGTGTGCTTGTCAAGCCATCCTTGACTCCACTGATCAGAGATCAATTATGATATTGCAGCATTACTGCACATGCAGGCATGTGTTGAAACCAAATTGAGAATAAGCTGTGCAGCGATGTAGCTTGTTAGGTGAGTTAAAATAATAAATAATTCAGGGTGTAAAATTGAAATCCATATTTAGAAAGTGTGGAACAGGACTGGAGTATGAACAGAACAATATGTCTAAATGAATGTCCCTCTGCTCAGCTCCAGCTGCAGTTTCACCAGGACTTGAATCTCTTCAATCATGACGACAACTCAACCAAGAACAAGCGCGGTGTTCTACCCAAACACGCCACCAACGTCATGCGCTCATGGCTCTTCCAGCACATTGGGGTGAGTCTGTGTGCGTCAGATCTTTGTCTGTGTGACGCTTAAAAACACAAAAAATACTGAATCCTTTCCTCCCTGCTCTCCTCTGCAGCACCCGTATCCAACAGAGGATGAGAAGAAACAGATAGCTACTCAGACAAACCTGACACTTCTGCAGGTCAACAACTGGTGAGTTTGTGTGTCGCCGTGGGTCACACAGACACAGTACATGAAAACATAATACCATGAAACCGCACCATCCCAGCGTCATGTCCAGCCAGGGGCGATTGTGATGTTGTTCTGTTTTCTACCTGCTGTGGAAAACTGGAGTGAACTTTTTGAATTACCTTCCCTTCTGTATAAATTTGTCTTGAATCTGATCAGATCTTCATCTAAGTTATAATAATAAACAAACACAATCTACTTTAATTAATTGCACACAAATCATTGTGTTGTAATTTTAAACATCATTCAATGACATGACCAGAAGCTAACTGGAGTCAGGAGTTATCAGACCTGAGTCTTTGTCAGCATTATTTAATATTTCTGATGAAGGTCTAAAGAGATTGGGATGTTAGGATGATCAATAAATCGTGATGCTGAGCAAGAGCAGTGTGTGAGATATTCTTCTTTTCAAGTGTGAAGTAACACTTTCTAACGCACCCGCATCTTGATTAAGAGGAAAGGAGTAAAAACCTGTTGAAATTATACTACATATTTAATCTGGTACAGTCACAGACAGAAGAACCAACTGTGGTTGTTTTGTCTCTTCAGGTTTATTAATGCAAGGAGGCGGATCCTGCAGCCCATGTTGGATGCCAGCTCCTCTGAGACACCCAAAGCCAAGAAGAAGACGCCTCAAAACCGGCCACTGCAGCGCTTCTGGCCCGACTCCATCGCCGCTGGAGGAGGAACCCAGCAGCATGTTACCATGCCAGATGGTGCGCAGCATGTTCTCTATGTACAGTTTGTGTTTAATGTTATAAAGACATGGTTTGGTCATGTAATGAAAGAAGAGGAAAAATGAACTTCACAGTCAGAACTCTTAGTTCTTCAGGCTCTGAGCCTCGACATACAGTTTTGAAATAAAATCCCTGATACTACATTAAAGTGTCAAGTCTGAGCTTATATATATATATATATATATGTGTGTATATATATATGTATATATATGTATGTATGTGTATATATATATATATATATATATATATACACATACATACATATATATACATATATATATACACACATATATATATATATATATATATTATTATATATATATCAATATATATATATACATATGGCTGTCTCTCCAAAGCAGTTCTTTCTATACTGATGTAAACCTACTCTAATGGGAGCTGCAACTTTAATGTAGAACGTATTATTAGGGCCAGAGCACAGAGCAAGAAAAAGATCACCTGCTAATAGTGATGAATTTGACCCTGGTAAGATCACTGTAAGACATTTTCTTGTGCCCTGTAGATAAAGTGAGTAGAAGTGATGAGTGTGTGTGCAGTATTTGACTATTTGAAAGTCTGAGTTAATGATCTGAGCTGACCAGGCTGCACTGCAAAAACTATAGTAACTATAAAGTATTGAGACCTAGTTAAATGTGTGTTTTGTGTCATTGATTAAGACTCAATTGATCTAATGATTGAATCTGACAGTCAAACATCAACGGCAACTCTCAGGAGAAGCAGCATGAAGCATCTCAGCTGTTAAAGCAGGAAATAAAAAGATAGAATGAAAGCAACAGTGTCACAAAACACTAACACAATCAGCTCCTAATGGACATGATGGCAGCACAGCTGGAGGATTGAACCCTGTTTTTGCTGTGGTGTAAACCTGGGTTGTTTTGTTCTTTTCCTTCATCTTGTGAAGAGGCCTGTAAACAGTGTCGTCTCCTGATTCTCAGGTACTATGGTGACAATGAATGTGGAGGGTCTGCAGAGCCTGACCTCAGACGGTGCCACACTGGCGGTGCAGCAGGTGATGCTGGGAGGCCACAGCGAAGATGAGTCGGGGGACAGCGGGGATGAGGATGACGACACAGACATGGCCGGGCTGGGCCTGGACAACAGCGACTCACTGCAGTAGAGGACACACTCCCTCACACACTGATCTCCACGTACACACAGGACATGCATAAATAGGTCTACACAACACGTTTGCATTTCAAACACAATGAGTCATAGTACAGACACGCATTAGGTTTACATAGAGCACAAAGCAACAGGACATGTCCTGCACTCTTCCAACCCTCCACCTGCTGAACGGCAGTTTGTACTGCGAGTGTGTACATCAGGAGTTTCATTTACGAAACCGTTTTTTAATTATTTAGTTGATGTAGGCGAGTGCACTTTTTGTATATTTAAGCTCAAAAAGATTAAATCAAACAAACAGAAGAAAAATAGAAGTGTTAAAAACACCCAAAGCAAGTTTGTATGCTCCGTTAATAAATGTTGACTGATTTCCCATTTTCTTTCTCGGCCCCTGGGCCCCTGCTCCCCGTCCCCGTCAATTCTCATTTTGGATGCCAACACTTTAAAGTTGTATGTGTAAGGGTTTGTCTTCACTTTTTGCATGCTTGTGTTTTGAGTAGATGTGCGCACTCTTATGACTGACTCCATGGCTCTCACCCGGGCCCTTGAGGGCCGAGCAGGGCCCTGGTGAAGAGATGAGAGGAAAAAAAGGAGAGATGCTTATTTTTATATACAAAATATGAAATGAGTGTTTTTTTGTTTTGTTTGTGTTCTCCTGTTTTGTAAGGAATATTTATGTACAGATTGATAATTAAAGCTAGCAACCCTGTTTTCCAGGGTTCTTTGAAGTTTTCTAAAAAATAGAAAAAGGAATTGAATGCTGATGAAAATTGCTATTTAAATTGGTTTTAAACTTACAATACTAACAAGGCCTTACTGTGTTCTTTTCTAAAGAATTCTTGCCAAGAAGCACAAAAGAGTGTGACCCTTGTAGAAATTGGTCAAATAGACACTAAACTGCAGAACCTGGTGGTTCTGTGAAGCATCATGTCTGACACAAAGACTCAACTGCAGTGTCAGTTTTAAATTCAGCTCCAGTTTTAGCCACATTGTGTATACCATACGTCTTTTAATTGTTCTACAGTGATAGTGTAGGCATCACTTTCTCAAATGCACAATCCAGAACACTATGCTAATCACACAATCACAAGGGTCTGAGATGGAGCCCCCTGGGAGGGCAGTATCCACACCGAGACGAGCTCCGTCACCAACAGGAAGCAGTGGACTTCTGCACGCACTAAACTTTTATTTATGTCAACAAACATGCTACTGCATCTAGACCAGAGCGGAGGGATGGGTGGACCCCCTGCTCCCTGCAGCCTCCATCGGTCCCCCTTCCACTACACACACGTAGTGAATGATTTTACATCTCTTTATCAATTTGTTGATATTACTGCACAAATTGGGGTGCCTCTTATTTGAATATCTGTAATATTGTACTGTACAACAGTTGTCTGTCAATAGTTGCAGTAATCTGGTTTTTATCCCTCTTGTAAAGTTGAGACTTGAAATGGTTAATTTCCCGCGGCCTGAGGATCTGAGGAGGGTGAGACTGGGTGGGCCCTCACTGAGCTCTCGTTCCTCACTTGCGGCTGTTTTGCTTTTTATGATGCGCTGTTCACTTTTCTCTTGTCTGTTTTGCCTTAGAGCTTTCTATTTTGGAATAAATGATGCCTAACTCTCTGCTCCGCCTCTTCTCTCTGCTCCGAGGCTCCGTCGTCCTAATGTGGTACAGTTCAAATGTGATAACATCCAAACAGAGTCCAGAGAAGTAACGGGGGGGTCAGTTGTCTGTGCTCAGGTTTGGAGAAACACGAACCTCTTCTCTCTGAAAGACCACACACAAAATGGACAATTTAACACAGACATGGAAACGTGTCTGGTTACAGTCACAACCAGATCAGAAACTCCAAAAACACCAAATATGAAGAGTTTAGTGTAATTATCAGTAAAATGATGCATGAAATATGATTCATAAAGGTAAAACTAGTGCAGCTTGAGTTTGGATACAGAGAAAAACACTAACGGTGGAGAGTTAGATTTCTGTCTGGAGAATCAGGTGAAATTATAATGAGGGAATAATGTCCCATGTTTTCTACTCTTGGTTTGCTTTGATTCAGGTCTGTGACAGGTTTAGTTTTCTGAGTACCCACATAGAAACCAGTACCAGATTCTGCACTCTTCACAGTCTGAATGGTTAGATCTCTAAGCATCTCAAAGCTGTTAGCATATAAAACACCTGACGTCCTGTCAGGAGCTATGCACAGTCTGTTCAGGAGAACCAGCTGTTGGTCCGTCATCACACAGTGAGGTTACAACACCTGGAACTACACTGGGTTCAGGTCTGAAGAGGAGACAGTGGACTGGTAACTGCAGTGTTTGTTTCACTCACTCAGACATCATGACCATATTAAAAAGTGCCATTAATTATAGAATATAATCGTTACTACTGTTCCAGCTTCATTTTTCCTGCAGGGTTGTTGTATTCAATAAGATTTGACATAAACCTGCATGAACAAAACCACAAGCTGAGGTCTGTACTACAAAGCAGGATCTGAGGTCATCGAGGTAACTTCCAGTTTAACTCTTGGTTTTCAGTCCTTACCGGGGTAAATCACCATGGTAACTGTTGCTGAACTCCTCACCTGCTCCTGAGCAGGTTTACTTCAGAGGATTAGATCAAAACCTGTCAACAGCCAAACTACTGACCAATCGGATCACTGGAAAAACTGAGTCATGATTCCTACAGGATCCTGACAGGGACAAAAGAGTTTACAATAAAGTGATCAATAATAAAGATCAGTAGATATTTGTATAGATCAGTGGATGTTTTGCTGTTTGAGTCGTTTCATGCGCTACTCTGGTTTTAAAACAGAGCCTCTAACAAACAGAGGAGGGTTTATCACATTAAATAACTACAAAATAACTATTGGAACTTCATTTGAACAGAACACAGATTGTTTAATCCGACAGGATTCCTGACAGTGATGAAGCTTTTACTCTCTTCTTCATCACTGCAGCTCAGAACAATGAGGAGAAATAAAAACTAAACCAACAATGATCCACACACTGATCAATATTTCCACCATTATAAATGAACATTTCAGTCAGACTGACATCAGCTACTTCTCTCCTCTTCTTTCTCTCTTTTCTTTCTCTCTGCAGCAGAAAGTCTGACTTTAACTTTTATCTACTTCACATGTTCATGACAGTTTGTTCATCATCAGACTGAAGAGCAAAATATTCAGTGAGAAACTTAATGATAATTCATGTTATTTTCAATATATCCTTAGTCTGACTTTAATAATTACAATTATTTCTAGTGTTTCTTTTTTATTCCAGTATTGTGATCACATTGTTTACATTTCACCTTGTTGAATTTCACTTTAAGACGTCACTATAACTGAACTTACCTGCAGGTATCAGTGTCTCTGCTCATATCATATTACTACTTTATTCATGGTTCTGTCGATGTTGCTTATAATTAACGACTCTGCCTCGTTCTCATGATGTGCTCGTACCTGGACAGGTAAACCCAGAGTTAACTGACCCAGTAGATAACCAGCTTCATAGGACAGGTGATCAGGACAATGTTAGGTTCAGTTTACCCAGGTGAAAAAGTTATCCTGGTCCTGTCCTGTCCTGTCCTGTCTTGTCTGAGGTAGGAAGTAATTTGCTATTAATTGTGGGTAAATTACATCTTTTTCAAACTAAAAAAACAAGGCAGACTGATGAGGTCAGTGCTCCTTCACTCTGGAAGAGTCCAACAATGACAAGGACGTTTCTCTGTGTAACAATACAAATGTGTTGTTGACAGTGTTGTCCTCTCACTCTTAAAATAAGTTTTTATTTTTGTGAAACTGTCTAACTAATCTAAAATGAAGACTGGTCTTAGACCACAGACCAGTCTGAAGTATCTTGAACTGGTCCCAGGACCCTGAAATCACAGCAGGCAGATGGAGCTCAGCTTCATAACTGGTTTTAGAATTTACTCGGGTGGTTTAATTTATTCTAGTTGGTCTTTATCTTAATGAACAAACTGGTCTTTAATGAATAACTGAGGCTCAGACCATCAGCTCTGTAAACTGGACTTTACTGGTCCCAGTAACAGAGAGTCCTGCAGACCATTATCACCATTGTTATTGGAATAGATACTTGAATCATCATTAATCTTAGCTTCATGGTTATGGTTTTAAAAGTTCATTGTCTTTCTAATCTTACAAAACACTGACGATGAGGCCCATTACCTGCAGCACATCACTCCCTGTGAGCCTGTCTGGTCTTTGTGACTTAGAGTCCTCTGGACTGTCTCATGTCTCACAGACTCTACAGGGTCTACATTTACTCTCACAGTTAGGACATGTCCCTTACTTTTAGCTTTAGGATGTTATATGAATACGGCCTCGGGTTCTTCTGAAGACCCAGGTCCTGAATCAGGACACAGCTTGTCCTGCACTGACCTCCATCTGTTGGCGGATCCAGCTGAGGGACTGTGTGATGCGAGTGTAGACGCCTGGCTTGTTCCTCATGGCACAGCCGATCCCCCAGCTGGTCGCCCCGACCAGCTTCCACACAGATGAGTCTTCACAGGCCAGAGGACCGCCACTGTCCCCCTGAGGAGACACATGCAGAAGGAGTCCACGTCTTACACACCAGACCACCAGACCTTCACTAATGAGAACATCAGTTCAGTTCTTACCATTGAGACGTTTTGTTCACACTGATCAGAGGCTTCTTGCTGCAGTCTCAGATCACTGTGTCTATTTAATGTGTGAACCAAGTAACAGGACTTTTATAGGAACTTACTGGGACATATGAGGGCCTGTAAAATAAAGTTACCAGCTGGACTATATGTATTGTAAAAGGTGTTGTCTTGGTATCTCACAACTTTCACTGCTTAAGAAGGTCAACCTATAGTGTGGGTCTGAACAGATTATGTTCAACGTTAAGAGCATTGGACTTGAACAAATGATCTTTCAAGAACAAATGTGACTACCACCAGTGTTTGACAAAACATTTTGATCTTTCATCTCTTCACCCAGTGTAGTCCACATGGGGATTGACTCCACAGGAGCAGCTGACGTGGACGCATCAGCTGTAGCAGCCACATCAGTAGACAACAGTTGGCTATATGAACCAGTGTGCATGTCTTGTTAAGCTTGAGTGGAGCAGGTTTCCAGGAACATAGTCTCTCCTCTCAGAGAACTCAGGTTACAACATACAACACCATAACCAAAGTTCTCATTCAGTGTAGTGCAATATCAGTGGAAGTTACAGCTTTTAAGGTTATTTATACAAACGAACCTTTATGGGCATCAAAATATCAATAATAACATTTAGTTGTTTAATTGTTGTAAAGACCTGTCAGTCACTGTGTGTGTTTACACCTACAGTCCATACTGTAGCAGAGCTGTGACAATAGAAACAAGTGGGAAATCTTAATGGAAATCACAAAAGGCAGTTTGTCTGCAGAACAAAGCCCAGAACAAAACATGAATCCTTCAGAAAAAAAACATTAAATGTTCGAGAACTGATGTTGTGGCCACTTGACCTTGATCCAGAAGCTGTTTTCTTGTCAGATTATTATTAATGTGATCAGTAACTTTAAATGTACCTGTATATAATGTGTTATATGATGTGCTACAGTTTTTATTTCTAAAAAAGTAATCTACAGTACAGATTAAACTGGCTCCTGCTCCTCCGCTGCTCTGAGGTCAGTGAGTGTTGATGTACCTGACAGGAGTCCACTCCTCCCTCCAGGTACCCGGCACAGATCATCCAGGAGGAGATGAGGCCGCGGTAGACCTCTGGCTGGTTGCAGGTCTTAGTAGAGAGGAGGGGGACTGTGGCCGAGTGCAGAACCAAGCTGGTCTCTCCTGGAGAAACCACATCAGAGAGGAGGGGAGTACACACATGAAGTGATCAAGGTTTTATATTGGAGCCCAGATGTGGGGGTGGGGGGTGGGGTGGGGTGTGGGGACTCACCATCGGCCTCAGTTGCTCCCCATCCAGAGATCCAGCACATGGTGCCCTCCACAAAGTCCTCCCCATGGTTGGGCAGACAGATGGGCTCCACCAGGCCTGAAGAGGAGAGACCATGAGTTTCACACTGGACACAACAACAACAACAAGTGTATGTGTGGTTCCCATCATCATCATCATCATCATCATCATCATCATCATCATCATCATCATCATCATCATCATCATCATCATCATCATCGTCAACCTGGGGGGGGGAGGGGGGGGGGGGGCAGACAGACAGACAGAGAGACAGACAGACCAGAGAGAGAGGCAGACAGGCAGACAGACAGAGAGACAGACAGACCAGAGAGAGAGGCAGACAGGCAGACAGACAGAGAGTAAATATAATACATTCAGAAATGTCAACAACATTTTGGACACATCTTAATTTAAATCCAAAAGACACACTGGCATTCAAAGCACTGAAGACCCAAGAGCTGAACCCTGAAAATAGTCCCCTCAGTCAGCTGACTGTGAAGTTAACCAGCCAAGCTCCCATCAGCACGGCATCAAAACAACACAACAGAATAAAACTAATTATGAATCAGTCAAAAAATCTTTACGTACAACATTGGAAAAATGAAATTAAAACCCAAAATAGACTAAATTGTTATCTTACCCTAAACAGAGAATACAAATTAGCCGAGTATTTCCTCTCTGTCAGATACGAAACAGAGATGGATCCTGACCAAATACAAGCTCAGTGACCACCACCTACCAATAGAAACAGGACGATACAAACAGACATGACTGCCCAGAGAGGAGCGTGTGTGGTCACTGCTCGACAAAAGAGTAGAGACAGATATGCACTTCCTCCTCCACTGTGACAAGTTCTCTGCATCGAGAGACAGAGAACAGCCAAAAAAATCCAAACTTCCAAATATTAACCCCAGAGGAGAAAGTGTCAGTTCTCCTGGGTGAAACAGCAGCAGCTCCTCTGGCGGCTAAATGTCTCTGTCTGCCACAGCCTGAGGGACTCACAATAACATCGCCATAAAAACACACCTGTATGATATTAAATTATTGTATATAAATGTATATAATATAAATGTATAGCAGAAGAATTGCCTGCAGGAGGAACCTGTAGCTACAACTGAATCACAACGGATTAATCTGTGGCTGTGAACAACATTGTGATGTGTTCACTTATATCTGTACATACTGAGGAGTATCTGAATAGTGACGCGTTCACTTACTTCTGTAGATACTGGAGAGTATCTGAATAGTGATGGATCACTCAGCTTGTAAAACTGTGAACAAACTGCAGTGAGTGATTTGTACTTTACACCTGTACTGAGCAGCTCTGGAACAGAGTGAGAATATGTGCCTTGTCTAAGGGCAGAAAGAGGGTAATGAGGAAGAGGACAGGCTCTGTTCTTTGCTGCTGGTCTGAGACAGACAGGTTGTACTGTGTATGTATGAACATGAAAACACCAGTACCATTGAAAACCAGAGACACGGCCAGTTTCATTAGAGCCACGTCGTAGTCTAGTCCTTTTGGCCGATAGCGAGCGTGGTATATGATCTGCTCCACAGCCAGAGACTGGGCCCCGTGGACGAGCTGCTGTGTCAGCCCCACATGGACTGTCCACATGGAGGGGTCTGCAAACCTGAGGACAGACCGGACAGAGAAAGTGAGACAGGAGGTGTGAGGGGAAGATGTCATCCTGCAACCCACAGTTTACGTTCCTGTTCCTTTATTATTTCACTGAACAGAGTTCACAGGCCTGTCACCAGGTTAAAGGTATTAGTTTAACTGTATGACAGAGAATTTGTGCTCTCTGCTGTGTCATGTCCACATAGCAGCTGTATGCAGCAGAGCATCTGACTCCTTCAATAACATATCCTTAACATATCCTTAAAAACACGGTGACAGGAAGAGGTCGTTTTATGTCAGTGTCCTAATGTGTCCTTTCAACAGTCTGTAATGATTCATACACAAGGCGTGAGAGAGGAGCAGAGCTGATGTGAGCTGATCCAGCAGAGCAGCAATGAGGGAGAGTAACTACATTTACTCAGTAGTGTACTTCAGTTCAACTTTAAAGGTCTATATTTCACACTTCTCCTGTGTTTTATTTGAAATATTGATCCATAAGAAGATTTATATAGTTTGTAAAAAAAGGTGGAGCTGTTAAGAACACACATACATCTTACTTGAGACAAGGTGCCACAACAACACATCGTTTTGTTCGTCAGAGGTTACAAGTCACAAAAGTTTTTCTTGGACTGTGTTGTATCTTATGAGCTGATCACCTGTTTCTTAACATAAAATATCAATCAAAGTAACTATAGTTATGAACATAAAATGGATATACTCAAGAACAAGTACCTAAAAGGTCCATATTGTATAAAGGCATATGTCCATGTGTTGTTTGATTATAAAGCAGGTCTAGGTTCTGTGAAAGTATCAAAGCGCTCAGTCCACAGAGAAATGCACACAGCCTGTATTCAGAAACTGAGCCTTAAAACCAGCCATCAGGACTTCTGGAACTTTGTGATGTCACAACAAAGCAGTCACTGATCTCGGCCATGCCCCAAGCCCCGCCCACCTGCACCCAACATCCATTATTGCAGGATTTGGTTTCTCTGAGTGTTTACCTGAAATCTGCTATATTTTTATTGGATCACTCAGAAAACAGTCAGCCAGTCAGAAGAGAGGCTCAGAGCCTCCTCTCTTCTGATTGGCTCAATGACCTGTTGTTACTAGAGCTCCAGAGAGAAGCCTGAGAGAGGAGATGTAAAACTACATTAAGATGGTTTTTGGTTCTTAAAACCACAAATATATCTTCTCATGGATCAACACTTCAAATAAAACACAGGAGAAGAAGAAAATATGGAGCTTTAAAGATTTTATCATCAGACTGCAACATAACAACATGTGAAAATAGTGCAGGGGTCTGCAGACTTTCTGAATGAACTGTACAAAATGACTCTGGACATAGGAGATATTAGTCTATTCAGCCCTGAGTGGTGTCTGCAGCCCACCTCCTCCACCAATGCTCCTGGTAAAACTCGGATCAGTGTCTTCAGACACTTTTATCAGTCCAAAGACTGGAGATTTATAGAGATTTTAGTGAGAAAAACAACTGAGACCGTGAATCTGGGAAAAGTTGGATTTTGAAAAATGACAGATGACACCTGTGGAACATGTTGTCCTCCAGTGATGATGAATCCCTGTCCTCTTTTTAACCATGATGAATTGGACAGAGAAGCTTTATCAGCAAAAAATATTACAATAATTAACCTGCCTTACTACATACAGTATCTTGTCTGAGACCTACACAGTGTAACGTCTGATATATAGATAATATATGTTTGATTGTGTGACTCACCCGTACACACAGTGTGCTGCCGTGAGGATCCAGCGTGATGTTATGATGGAGCCTCCACACAGGTGCTCACCGTTGTAGTGGAGACTGACCTGCCATGGGAACTGACCTGGTCTGGAGATGTTACCTCCAACAATACGAGTGCTGTACTGAGGCCTGGAGCCACATTCTGAAGACAGACATGTGACCAGGGTCAAAGGTCATGGCAATGTCAAGTGAGTTATAACATAAACATTGATTGAATAAGTTAAATCTGCAGATTCTTTGAGCCTCTCCTACCTCTGACCAGGTGAGTTAGAGAGCTGCTATCAAAAAAATACTGTCCTCATGTCAGCTTTCAGTTACTGTCTCATGATGTGTTCAGAGGCTGTTATAAGCTCGACCAGAGGTGAGGTCTGGAGGAAACACTCGAAACTTAAAGCTGTTCCTAAATAATTTATCTATTGTGATACATCAGTGTCTGAGCCCAGAGCTCATGAAGGTGATGAATACCTTCACAGCCACAGAGAACTATAATGACAAGTCATCTGGTCTTTATTGTTAACATTGGTGGAATGCCCCTTTCAGTCTTGTAAATTCTGATCCAAATGATCATCTATGAGCAGTTTAGACCAAAAGTATCAGTATCAATCTTAAAATCTGGCCCAGTTCAACCTGAGTGCATGCAAACACACACACACACACACACATTCATGCACACACACTATGGAAGCCCTGAGAGGCTAGTGATATTTTTTTTGTGAAAAAAGAACAAAAGAAATAGAAAAATGATCCCCACCCGACATAAGTATTTTTTTCCCTTGCCTTTCACAGGTGAAAAAAAAAAAAAAATTCTGTCAGGATTTTCTAATACTCATTTCGGCCACAAGAGGCTGAAGGGCACCAATACCCCAATCTCAATCAGACTAAAAGCATTCATGTTTCCCTCCAGGTGATTTTTAATTTCTCCATGCAATCTGAAAACAAGGCACATACAATCACTGTTATCAAATTATGTAACATTACTGTTCCTTCTTTTGGCTAGAAATGTTTTGTGGAAATGCGAGGCAAGTGAAAATGTTTTTCAAATTTTCTAAAAATTTCACTTGCCTTTCAGGGCTTCTGTAGGTTTTCATTATTTAATTACATGAAACTCTGGCTTTTGACTTACAACAGGTTTTCACATGAACACCATGAATGAGAGCTGTAAGATATTGTGATTAAGACACACACAGAAGAAATACACACATGTGCATGCCATGCAACACTGTGTGCACTAAACTCCTCCTGACTCCATGTTAAATCCTCACAGAAAACAGTCATGACCAGAGCAAACATCAGTCAGTCTGTAGGTCTCCTCACCCAGACATTTCAAAGTGGTCACCTTCCCTGAGCTGCACTCAGTCTTACTGTGATGACACATCAACAAATCACAGACAGACTCAGGGTAAATAAATGAACAAAGATGGAATTAACTTCATTAGCTTCATGCCAACTAAGAAAATGGCAATTGTAATCATGTACACAGAGATATACAGTATATCTACCTTCCACAATCACAATACATGAATAAAGACTTATGAGATATCAGAAAAATGGATCTGGCTTTGTCTGGCTTTTGCACAGGATTCCTCAGTTGATCAGCTGACCCACTAGATTTTTTAAACACATACAAAAGTTTGTCACTGACCATCAGCACAGTAAGTGTTGATCCTTTTTCACTGATTGAAATGAGGTTGTGCTCATGTACCTGAAAGTGGTGGTGTTCTGCAGCTTTATGATGTGGGGCTGGTTCAGGGCAATGGACATTAGATTGTGTTGAAGGTCCTGTTCAATGGAGGTCAGAGAGATGAAGAATGACTCCACATACCTGACAGACACAGAACATACAGCTCAAACTTTAAGTCAATGACAATGTTCTTAAAATCCTGTTGATAACCATTTCACTTGTTCATATACAAAAAAATGTTTCACTTCTTTTAAACTTCAAACATAAAACAAGGAGCAAACCATCCACTTAGCATCTCATGTAACACAACATTTAAATCACAGTCCTCTTCAGTGTTGTCTAATAATGTTCAGACAAGGGACAACTCTCTCATTTATTTAAATGAGACCTCTCCATCAGCTCAGTAAGGGTGCCAGTGCAAAAGGCTTCTGAAAAAAACTAGAATCACCTCCTTGTGGTTGTCTTCCTCCTCTTTCCATTTGTGTGAGATTTTGTCATAATTGCTGAAGTCTTGAGTAATGGCTAAAAAGTGTTTAATGAGGTCACACTGACCTTGACCTTTGACCTTTGATCACCAAAATCTAATTAGTTCGTCCTTGAGTCCAAGTTTGTTCCAAATGTGAAGAAGTTCCATCAAGGTGTTACTGAGATATCATGTCCATAAGAATGGGATGGACGGACAACCTGAAAACGATATCACTCTGGCTCTGACTGTCTCCGGTGTGGAGGAATAAAAACACTCAGGTTCAGGTTTGCAAAATATAGGCTCATAAAGACATAATGCAAAGCGACATCATCCAGCATGGTGCTGCACTGGCAACTCACATATATGCATCACAGATTTCCACTGTTAACCTCATGATGGTTGAGACAGATAAAGAGAGAAGATAAAATGTCTGACACTGTTGTAACATTCTGTCTATAGTCTGATAAACCACTGCGTAGTGTGTGTGTGTGTGTGATGATAGATATGTTACTAAAACTAGACTTCCTGTTTGGGGTCTCATGTGTCATTGCTTCCACCACAGCCCCCCCAGTTTACCTTGACTGAATCATGTTTTGTCCTTGAAGCATACCGTAGCTGCTGAGACAGTTCAGTACTACAAACCCCTGTACTGCTGCAGGAAACAGCTCTCTAAAGACTTTCTGTCCCTCGGCTATTCTTCTACTGTCATTACACAACATTCATTTGAGTTGGTAGAGTTTTGTAGCATTAACAAAATCATCACAGTACATTAGATAAAAACAGATCTTGATTTGATCATTAATCAGCTGTTTGGGAGGATAATGAAACATACTGTTTTATTTACACTGGATACCACCATTTCATGTTAGTGAACTGCACTCCTGTGGCCTTAAAGAACTGCAACACCCAATATTCAGAATACCTGAAACATGTAGTCACACCTTGTGAATACTGAAGTAAAATAAGCTCCTGGCACTGAGCGCCACCTCAAAAGAGTCAAACTTCAATCAAAGAACAGCCACTGACATGTTATCTTAGTAGGTCTCTGACTGATGGACTAACACGTCTTCTGGATGTACACACCAGAAAACAAATACCTGCATGGAATTAATAAAATGGATAGAAAATGTTTCTATTCTTAGATCAATACCTGTAATGAGCCAGAGATCTGAAGTTTGACCTGAACATGGCAGCAGAGAAAATATAATGTTGTTGCAGTAGTGTAGTAACATGTTACTTTTCATTGCCAGGTAAATTCATATTACACTCAAAGTGTAGCTGAGGTTGTTCTGTCATAAACTTCTGCACAATGAGAATCCAGATCAAGACAACAGGCTGAATGAGAGGGGGGCAAATCTACCATTACATCATGATATCATAACATCCTTGCATCATGACATCATGACATCATGACATCATGACATCATAACATCATTGCATCATGACATCATGCCATCTTAACATCATAACTTCATTGCATCATGACATCATGAGATTATGACATCATGACATTATGATATCATAACATCATAACATCATTGCAACATGACATTGAGACATCATGACATCATGACATCATTACATACAGATATTGCTAAAAAAAAATAAACAAGGGAAAGAAATCCTAGTCAAAGCCAAGACCTTGAATAACCCAGCTGCTTGCAGGCAGAGACCCCCAGCCAGTTGTTCCAGTCCTCTGAACAGACAGTCCTCCATAACCCCCCTTTCTGGACCTGAAGCACTGAGCTCCTCCCACTTAGACGCACTGACACAGAAAGAGAGGGGTGTTGGGGTGGGGTGGTGGGTGGGGGGCAGAGAGACAGAGAGAGACACAGAGACAGGGAAACAGAGAGAGACAGAGAGAGAGACAGCGAGAGAGAGAGAGAGAGAGACAGTGAGAGAGAGACACAGAGACAGGGAAACAGAGAGAGACAGAGATATAGAGAGAGAAAGAAGGATAGAGAAAGAGAGAAAGGCAGAGAGAGAGAGAGAGAGAGAGGGAGAGAGAGAGGGACGGAGATGGATTGAAGTTGTTATTATGTGACATTTTTGTACGGTCCAGGTTTGTTCATGAACATACGCCTTTTTTACTTGATGGTAATTTGTTTGTGACAATGAACCATTTCAACACAAAATAAACTTAGATGTAAAAAGCCTGATTTCCAGTGTTTAGGACATTATGTGTCAGGGTCTTAATACCTTTAATATCTCAGTTGATATTGTGCTCACATGGTGCATTAAATACATTTGGGTTTATCAGCTCAGACAGTAAACCTGGGTCAGGTTATATACTAATTGGTTCCTCTGGCAAAGAAATCCCCACCAACCTGATGTCCTCAGACCAGAACCTGCTGACTATCCCTGTGTCTGGATTTGATGTCAGAGGACGACATGTCTTTGCTGTTATTACATATGAGCTCTGAATGATCAAGGAGCTTCTTTTAAATGTCTCCTTAGTTAGCCTTTGAATAACTGTCATGTTTTATTATGACATTGTTTCATGTTTGATATGCTGCACCTTTTGAAATGTGTTCTGTAACATTTGTTTTTGCTGATTTTAGCCTTTCAATATTTTCCCATATCTCTACTTTAATTGTTTATGAAGCACATTGCCTTTGAAAGGTGCTGTACAAAGAAATATTACGAGGCTATTATTATCATTATTATCATTGACAATGCCAGTTTAAGGAAAATACAGGTGTATTCTGATACATGTTTGCCATGACTGAGTAAATGCTTTACAAACTGCCTTCAAAATCACACAGATACAGATGTACGTGTCTTTATTTGTTTATAAATTTATATGTGTGTGTGTGTGTGTCTCACCACAGCCAAGCTCGTCCTCTCCATTGTCACAGTGCACCTGTCCATCACACTGAGCCAAGGAGCTGATGCACTGAGATGATGAGCCACAACGGAACTTCCCCACACAGCTCAGACCCACTGTAGACCCACACACACACACACACACACACACACACACACACACACACACACACACACACACACACACACACACACACATGTACACACAGACGCACACAAATAAAGAGCATATTACTCACTGATGGAGTTTTTTCCCTGTAGTACAGTAACTCAATGACAAACAAAACTGTAGGTGGAAACAGAAAGGTGCATTGTGTTCAGTTGTGATGAAAACAGCTTCCTGTGCTGTCAACCATATTTGGTGTGCAATAAACACCCAGTAACCAAGACAACAGCAGTCCCTCCACAGTGCTTAGAAACGTGATGAAAATCTGTTTTCAGTTGACACAGAACAGTGTCAACAGCTCATGAGTCTAAATATCAATAACACTAATGCCAAAGTGTGAAGGATTTGAAATTCCTACTATTCCTACTAACAGCCAGTGATGCCATCCAGAAGTACAGTGTTACACTCCATCCCACATCATATAATCAAAGATGAAAATAATACCACCTCAGGTCAACCTCTTCAGATGCATGCTGGTTTGTTGCAAGCATACACTCACCTGCCTGTCAATCAAAGAGACCACACATGCAGGTATTCATAGAACTAGAGTTACGTCCACAGCTGGAAAACACAGTAATAAAATTGACCATTGTGGAATAGCACAGCAGATCAGACCAGTGAGACTGTCACCTGATCTTAACACAGCTGATTGTATTTTTCACAGACCAAAAAAAAACAATCCAAGCACAGAGTAAAGATGGCTGGTGTGTGTGGGCGGGACCTAAATTGTATCAGGTAAGGACTGCATCAAATATTGATGGAGCACAGGTAGCCCATGCTACAGTGGCTCCATTATTGCTTAATAGACAAAGTCCACACAATACTGAGCTCCTCACCTCCGAGGCCGATGCCGAGAATGAGAGTCACCACCATGATGACGCCTGAAGCGATGAGCAGCTCGAAGCGATGAGCCAACAGTCTGTTCTTCCAGCTTTTCTCCACGTCGTCATCTGTCAACACAAAGTAGTTCATGAACATCACAGTGTTTAGATATTATATAATATGAGCAGTTCAAACTTAAACAGGAGACAGGACAGGTGCAGAGAAACGTTTTCTTTTATCTATAAAATAAAATCTATGACATTTCTCTCGTGTTTCCCTCAGGATTAAGAAGATTATGAAAAATAATTTAAACCTATGAACTGTGAGCTTCATCCCACAGGTCATCTGTTTTCTTTAGTCAAAACCAGAGTGGGTAAGCTTGTGTCTTAATTACCATCCTGTCTGTGGCATTGTGCCAGTCCATCCATGCCTACTGAAGACATAACCTGTCTCACAAATGAACAGGCACTGTAGTTTTTAAAGGTCCATGTAATCTAAAGGCAGATGTCCATGTATTGTTTGATTATAAAGATGGTCTAGGTTGTATATTGATACTGTGAAAGTATCAAAGTACACACAGCCTGTATTCAGAAACTGAGCCTTCAAACCAGCTATCAGGACTTCTGGAACTTTGTGATGTCACAACAAAGCAGTCATCGCGCTCAGTCGCACCCCAAGCCCTGGCCACCTGCACCCAACATCCAACCTTGCAGGATTTGGTTTCTCCGAGTGTTTATGTGAAATCTGCTATATTTTTATTGGATCACTCAGAAAACAGTCAGCCAATCAGAAGAGAGGCTCAGAACTTCCTCTCTTCTGATTGGCTCACTGACTTGTTGTTACTAGAGCTCCAGAGAAAAGCCTGAGAGAGGAGATGTAAAACTACACTGAGATGGTCTCTGGTTCTTAAAACCACAAATATATCTTCTTATCGATCAACACTTCAAATAAAACACAGAAGAAGAGGAAAATATGGAGCTTTTACAAAAGTTACTCTAACAGTAGGAAATAGTGTATTTGTTGAGGACTATTTTCAGCAGTGGATGAATCTTGATGGTGTGTGTGTGACTGTCTCAAAATAAACTGCAGTGTGTGTGTTCATGGAAATGAAGGACCATATCACCCAGTGACACAATGAGACTCATCTGTGTGTTTTAATAGTTTGTGGAAACAGTGGAGCTCTGTGGCTCAGAGGAGTCACATATACACACAACAGAGAATCAATCCTTCACTGCTTAGGGTCTTTTCATGACATTTTTTTCACGAGAACATGTAACACAACTCTTATCTTCTGCCAAAATAAAAAAGATCAATTCCAAATTCAGGTCCTTTCATGTAGTTATGCGGTACCAACAGAACCATGTTGATTCCTCAGGTGAGTCTCTAACAACCTGTAGTCTCTGGTTATTACACTTCATTCTGTTTTCTATCTACTGACATGCAACTATAACTTTACTTTATACTGATATTTCACCTGTGATGAGAGCAGCTGTACAGCTGAATAGGACTGTGTGGTTGGATAAGGAAAGTGAGGAGGACTAAAGAACAAAGAGGTCAATGCTGTGACTCATCACTTAGTCCGGGACAGATGTAGCACCATTATCTCCATAACAAAGCACGTCATTCACAGCTTCTCATATTTCAAGCAGATCCCACAGTAACTTTACCTGAGAGCAGTGATCTGCTGCACCACCACAGGGCTCACCTTGGAGAAATGGCTGCACCTTAGTGATTGGCATGGTTGGACTGGGCGCAGCTGGAGGCTGGGGCTCTTCAGGTTTTGCAGAAGTATTCTCTGACTGGGGGTCAGCAGTAAAGCTGCCGAGGGGGCTGACATTTACTGTGTTGGGGGTCTCGACAGTGGGGAGGTCTTCCTCTGTCACAGAGACCACCTCGATCCTGGAGGGGTCTGGTTGCTCAGGTTTCTCTGTCTTTAGTTCCTGAACAAGAAAACATGGAGGGAAATGATTAACTGATGATAGAAACACAACAGCTATGAAGACCTCAGAGAGGTATGTTGTGACTGAAGGACCAGAATCTGGGTTTAACCCAGTGAGGATGATGATGTTGAGGGGTTCAGCAGAGATGAGGAGGGATGATGAAAACTGCCGACAGTAAACCAGGAGAACTCACAGAATCTGTTGTACGATGCTGAACCTTTGTTGACCCTTTAATAAGACACTATGAAAACTTCATTTGACAGCATGGCAGTCTGAGAGGAACACCACGACTCTGCTGCTGAAATTTAACCGTTACCCATTGAAAAGCAGCATCAAGGTTCAGGGTGCAAGGGGATAGAGATGAAGCTAAATTGTACTGAGACAAATTAGAAAAAAATACCCAATTTTCACTAAACCTAAACTAGCACTGAAATCTGCATCGACCAGGCGCCCTCCTGGAGTGTCTGGGGCTATTCAACACAAGGTGTCCCCCCAACAGGTCAGCCCCTAAGTGCAGCCTACAGAAGGTAAACCCTCACCCTTTTCCCCTCTGTTGCTGTGGAGACAGACTGGGCTGTGGTGACTCTCTCTCACCCCCAGTCTCCACCCTACCATAGCTTTTCTATTTTGTCTTCCTCTTCCCCTGTTTATTCCTTCCTCTGATTTTTGTCTGGTTGATCAGTTTACAGCTCAGTTTATAACATGTCAGAAAATAATGGAAAAACCAAATGAAAATTTCCTCAGCCCAACAGTCCAGAGCCCAAACATATTTAACCAGCTCACAGAGATATAAAACAGAGACTTTTGTGTCAGTCAGCTCTACCTTCACTGACTGAGTGTGTCCACTTACTGGCAGGGGAGTTGATGTGTCAGCAGCAGCAGTGTTGGCAGCAGGGTCTGTAAAAGAGAGATGAGAAGCAGTGGGATGAGTGAAAATAATACTGACAGAGCAGAGAGAGAGAAAATGGAAGTGAGGAAGAAGAAATGATCATGAAGAAAAGAGAAAAAACGAGTCCTCAAGAAAAAAGAACAGACTGTATTCCTGAGTTTGATCATTTATCTCCAACATACTTATGTTCATGAAGGTCTTTGTCATCGTGCCATTGTCCACACTCAGCCGAGCTTTATCCAGCACCATAACCCCAAGTCTCTGTTCCTCTGTTTCTGTGTCTGTTTTTAATGGCTGCACTCCTGTCGTGTCTACACTTTGGTACAAAGGGACACCTGAGCAGGTGAGTGCTGCCACTCAGAGGGGGGATCGGGTGACTCTGCACCTCCCACTCTGTGGATAGGATTACATGCTTGGGGAGGAGGAGGAGGGAAGCTGCTGTCCACTGGTTGTACTGTCCAGCTGCACTCTGCGCGCGCGCACACACACACACACACACCACACACACACACACACACACACACACACCTGTATGGTAGTGTGAGTCAAATATAGTTTGTCTTTTAAAGCCAGTAAATAATTTATATGTGTCAAGGTTTGGAGATATGAAGGTCAGTAACATTTTATCTGGTTTGAAGCAGTTACCATGAAAACTATTCACAGTGATGTCCATGGATTAGTGACTTTGGTTTCTGTTAGTGATGGGTCGGTCGCGAACGAGAGCCAGATTAGAGCCGGCTCTTTGAAGTGAACGACGGGAGCCGGCTCGCGATCGAGAGCGATTTTTTTTTTATTTTAATTGTCTTTTAAAGCCGCATTGGTCAACATGTGAGGCTGTGGCAGCGTCTGTGTGACTACACTGAGCAGGAGGGGGGAGGGGAGGGGTTACAGACACTCGCATTTTGTGTTTTGTTTTTCACTGTACATGGTTGCACATTTTAATTTATATTTTGTTGAGTGATGTTTAGTTGATTTTGTGTTTTTTCACAAATTAAAATGGGTCTTTTTTTATTTAAAATGTATTTATGTATATGTTAAGTTATGTTTATTAATAAAGCCATATACATACTATACATATGTTATATTTTGTTTTTTGTTTTTTTTTTTACATTAGTTATTCATTTTACACATAATTTGGTAATAAATTAATTTAAGTAACAAAAAATCTGAGGAGCCACTTGGGAGCCGGAAGAGCCGGCTCTTTTTAGTGAGCCGAGCCAAAAGAGCCGGCTCTCCACAAAGAGCCGGAATTCCCATCACTAGTTTCTGTAGACCACAGACTGTAGGCTATATAAAAATGCACATCAACTCTGGGTCTGGAAAATGAAGCCAATGCGGAAGTGCCTTAAACTTGCATTCTATCGAATGACCATCAGGGGGTGACTCCACTGGTTGCAAAAAGAAGTCAGATTGTATTGAAGTCTGTGGGAAAATTACCCTACTTGTCACTTCATTATGTATTTCATTATGTGTTTATGGTCTCAATCGCTGGTTTGAAGTTTTTCTTCAATACAACATATGTTCATTTCTCAAATTATGGTCCTATTTAAAAATTTAAATTTAAGAGAAAATAGATGTTAAAGCAGAGTGGTTTTAGGGCGTGGCTACTGCATGATTAACACACAGGGGGACCTGCAATTAATCTGGATAGAGGTCAGAGTGATGTGTCGGACATTTGACCTGTCATTGTGTTTTCAGTTCATCAAAGTTAGCTCCAACATGTTTGCCTGAAAATGTCTTGTTCGGCGTTCAGTTGTTCTGAAAGACACTTGGAGGAGTCAGCAGTTCATTTTTTTTCCAGTATGTGCATTTTGTTTTATGCCTATTTCTTTGCTAGCCAAAATTAGCATCCCTTTTAATATCACAGTTCAGGTGAAGATGTACATTGCTAACTAAACTAGCCAGCTAGTGTTTAGCGTTAGCTGATAATTTAGCGATTGCTATGCTAACAGTACCTTGCCCCACTGGGCTGATAACCTGTCCACCTGGGTTAGCCCGTGGAGGTGTTCAGTCAAAGCCCAATAAAAAAGTACATTTAATCAACGTTAATCTAATGACGTTTGGTTTGTGTTTCTTGCACGTGACCCGGTTTAAGTGATCTGCGTTAGTGTAATGCGCAGCGTTAATGTTAGTTAATACATTGTCCATCAAGACGTCATTATAGTTCAAGTTAAGATAACGTGACGTTTACAAAATGTGTAGAAAAAAATTTGTCATATAGAAGATTGTTCATTTAATACTCAAAACCTCAACTGAAGCAGACATTCATGCACCTATCCTGACAGCTGATGGATATTTGTGATTTACTGTGATCCACCACATCTTAACTCAAGTGTTTGTCTTTTATTGTCATTTGAAAGGTTTCCAGACTGTGAAAAATGAGTGATCTGTGCCAACAGAAGGAGGACCTCATGTACAGAGCAGCCCATTTGTTTCCATTCATCTGGTTGTGAAGGGAGACTGCATGGACATCCTTAGTTCTCAAATGGACTGTGATGATGATGCTAGAAAACCACTCCCAGATGAAATGACAGACTGCTGATTAGTTTGTTTATTATTCTGTCTTCAGTATTCACAGGTTCAGTTTCTTACCTGCAACTTCATTTCTGCAGTTGTTGGCAGGTGATGGTAGCAACACCTTTAAGAACAGAACTTAGAAATATTAAACTGTGATTAATTGATGGATCAGCTCTAGCACTGTCACCCCCTCCACAGGTAAAAGTATTTATCAATTGACATCAGCATGTTTTTTGATCCTTCATTGTGAGTGTTGTCGGACAACATTTAAACATTTCTAGTATTTATGTTGTTACTAAAGCTAAGATAGAAATAGTCACGCAATGCTGTACGTGTTACTATTGTGAGAATTCATACCAAATGTGTTCTGTAAAAACCATCAACAAAGCTAAAGCAAGAGCTTCACAAATAACTTTATTTGACATTATGAACTACATTAATTTAAACAATTTACAACACTGGAAACATGTATAAAAGAATGTAATAAATTGATTAATTAAACACTGTAGTGTACAATTTACAGTCAACTCTAACTATTTAAAATAAAAAAATATAATTGTGGATGAAGTTAAAGCTGAATTTCACTGTCATATGTAAGTGCATAATAAAAAGAGGTAGTTCAATCAACAGTGCAACAGAATTTTTATTAACAAGTCCTAATGTCCTAATGTGTGAGATAGTTCATATTTATTTGCTCCAGTAACAATCTCCCTCTAAATAAGTGATGCTGTTGGAACAGCACACTGATATTAACTATAATGGCTGAGGACTATGAAATATGAACTCTAATGTTTTTAACTGTTGACAATTTGTTACAGCTACAGTGGAGTCCAAAAGTCATGTGATTGAATGTCTGACATGGAGCAGAGAGTGTAATAAGACAGTGAGGGTGTAGGGAACAAGGAAGAGCATATCTGATAAGACTGAACAATGTTATGGCCACAAGTGTTACATTAAAAAATACTATATTATCATATAAGACACTGTGTGTATGTTTGGGAAGAGAAGATCTTCATGTGTGGACACTGCAGGTGGAGGTGGTGCAGGGCCTCCATAATTGCTGCAAGAGGTTGTAGGTGTCCCCAAAGATCCAGACCTTGGCTGGATGGAAAAAAAACATTATAATAGAGAGAAATCATATCAATATCAAATTGTAGAGTACAGAGAAAAAGACTAAAGAAACAGCAGATGATCACACATATCTGACTAACACTGAACCAAACTTAATATGAACAAACAGGACACACACGTCTGCTGCTCTGCTCTTTAACAGCACATCAAGACACAACAGTTAACTGTAATAACGTTATCATTTAGTGATAGTGACTTATTGACAACCCGCTGTCACTGTTAACACTAAGTTCAGTAACGTCACCTTCGCTTTGTAGAACTCATTTTAAAACACGTTATAACATGTTTTCCCTTGGTCTATGGTTTTAATACAAGCGGTTACACCACACAGTTAGCTTACACACAGTAACTTCAGCTAATATTACCAGGTTTTATCCTCATATATGTGATATTTACCAAATGTGGACATGTATGCGATTAGCTACTAAGATTATTTTAACACTAAGATATAAAGTTTACCTCGAATTATGAATGCTAACTGTGTTCGCAGCGACTTCGTACAGTGCATCCAGGAGCCTGCTGCGGTCAGATAGCTGGTGCATGTGGGAGTACAGTGTCCTCTGTTCTTAGGGCCAGATCGGGTCAGATCCACCCTCTCCTCCAAATATGTTTTTTTCCAGTTTTCAAAAAACCTAAATGGCGACGGTCAAAACACAAACTCCTGGCTTTAAAACGGCAGTTCAGAAACCAATGGGTGACGTCACGGTGGGTTGCCACCTGTAGACACACTCTTGTTGAGTTTTTCAAACATTATTCAGTGCAGTGAGCAGCACAGATGAAATTCCATTCACCTCCATCGTGTTGAGGCTGAGATAGAAATCTCAGATCTCAAAAGCTGCACAAAGAAAAGTAAACCTACTCGTATGGTCTTTAATTGGGTGAAATGATCCTTTAAGTTGGACCTACTTTATGCCCAGGTCAGCATTAATACTGAAAACTGTTTTTTTTTCAGTTTTTCATTCATTTCTAGAAGCCAGAGAAACCTGAGTTAAATATCAGTGGAGGGAGCCAGAGAGCTACTGAGTCAACTAAACAATTACTGTTATGAATGAAGAAACAGCTGGAAACAGATGTTATGCATTCTACACTTAAGTGCCTAGTGGCTCGTTAGTTAGTTAAACTTATCTGTTGAGCTTCAACATGACACAAAAGTTTCTTTATTTCACTCACACAAAGCTCAACATAACACTAATACTAATACTAATTCTAATACTAATAATGATGATGATTATGTCCCACGTCTGAATTTGTCAAATATAAATATGTTTATATCTAATCTAACTTTAAACAAACAACTTCAACACAACATGAGATATTTTATTTAGTAGTAGAAAGTACTCTAAAAAAATAGATAAAACTACACAAACAAAATGAATAATAACAACAAGGTTGCAGATTTAAAAACAACTTTTCTGAAGTTTTTCTGGTTCATCTACTCATAATCATTATTTCTGAAACACAGACAGTTCTGTTAAATAACTCACACCTCAGTGAAAGTCAGTTCATAAACATTAACTGATGACTCACATGTGATTAAACAGCTTCTCTCTGCTAACAAGAGAGCACTGTTCATTAACAGCTGTGTCTCTGACCAGCTGATCAACCTTCACCACACTTCACATTTAACTGGAGGAAATCATACATTTAGTTTGATCAGTAAAGAACAGACTTTGTCAGTGTCTCTGTGACTCATCATCCGTCTAAGTTAAAGAACAACTTCACCTTCATATCATCCTCCTGTGTCAAAACTGACTCAGTCTGGTTGACTGTTTAAAAAGAGTGAAGTACTGTATAACATCATCACCCAATTCTCTGTTATACATTCATCGTCAACTTCATTTTTCAAATTTGGTGGCTCACTTGGCAGAGTGCATACTGCTAAGGCTAAGTCCTTACTGCAGCGGCCTGGTTGGAGTCCAACCCAAGGCCCTTTGCTGCATGTCATCCCCTCTCTCACTGCAAAGGCAAAAATACCTGGAAAAATAGCTTAAAAAAGCAGATATTCTGAATTATTGTGGATCATCACAGACTGGTATCCGTCCAGTATTAATCAGGATGTTTCCAGGTCAAAACTGACTGATGCAATTTTATTCTTAAATTACAGAGAGCTTTACTTCAAAGTTTAGTTTCAGCTTTAACTTTTCACAAAGACTTCAGTTAAGTGTCAGAGTGCTCTCTCTAACAGTCTGGTGGGTCTGTTCTCTGATGCAGTGAGGTCCATTTCATTTCCTCATCATGCAAATGTGTGGCAGTGACAATGAACCTGGACCTGCTGTGTGGAGGCCACGTCCTGTCAGTTCTGTCACAGACTGGAACCATATTCCTAACATGGCTCCAGTACTGAATGAGCTGGCTGGTACTGGACCCTGATCACGGTGTTCTCCGAGGCAGGAAGTGAGTGCAGGACTGGTGGCGGCCCACACTGCTGCCCTTCCTGAGGTCTCCCTTGTGGGACAGAGCCAGGTAGATGCCTGGATGAGACAGAGAGGAATAGGTGGTGTAGTGGTTCTCCTCCAGGTTCTCCTTCAACAGGCAGTTGTCAGAGAACTGCTCCTGAAAACACAGGAATACATTATATCATCACATCATCTTGTTCCATTATGAAGCCCAGCGTTCAGACATGCATTCATCCTTAAAGGTAAAGATACTGGTTTGTTTGTGTTTGTAAGCACACCACTTAAAGCTGGCCCCTCCCCCCCAGCTCAACAAAAGAGAGAGGGAGAGCAGCAGTGGCTGAGCGATATAGAGAGTGAATGAAGAGAGGGAGTGGTGTTACAGAACAAAGCAGTGAATCAGAGAAATAAAACTTTACTTCGTGATTGATCATATGAAATCCTTAAAATAAAATGATTTCTAAGTGAATTACTGCACCATGACAACAGGCAGAGGTCAAAGTCTATACACTGGTTTTTATGGAAATCCTGCACAGTATACCTTTAACATGATGCAGTGCACCGAACATCCGGTCAGTCAGTGTCATTTGCTTCTGCTGCCTCTTAACGCTTAGAAAGAAAAGATTGTGAAAGTAATTTCTAATGTGTAACTTTAGTTTCCACACACGTCTGTACATGTGTATATTGCTGCAATATCATAACTGATCTCAGAACAGTACAAGCTGAGTGAAGGACAGGTTGACCAGCACACTTTGGTTAAAGCTAATCACTTTGAAAGATCCAGGATTATCCTAAATGTGCAAACGTCCTTAAAAGGCTGCTCTGACCTCTGCTTGACAGAAATGACAGGAACTATATATACAGATAATAGCCTAAAGTGACCACTAGATGGCAGTAAATTACATGATTGATGCAAACAGACATCAGACCCTTTATGGGACAGAATGTTGCTCTGAGATCAGATTTAAGGAGAGATATAACTTCACTTCAGTGTTGCTCTAATTGATGTCTATTTAAGCTTTAACTGGTCGAGCACTGCTGTTCTTGCTGGTCCTGACACTGACATAATGCTCTTTGATCCAGGTCTGAGAGCATGTACTTTCTCTCACAGTACACAGACATGACACATGTACACCCTGCTGTGTTACTGTGTGAGCTGTAGTGGGCTACATACCACTCCATGTGCCAGTCCTTGTCCACTCATACAGAGGTACAGGCCGCTCTTCACTCCTTTGATTCCCACCACTCCATGCTTTATAGCAAACATCTTCAGCCAAGCTTGTGGAGATGGAGAAACAGCGTAAAGCAATACATCAAGGCTTGGATGGATACTTCACAGATATCTACAAACTCCTCACATAATGAAACCTCAGACTGCAGACCAGTGAACTCACAGTACTCAGTGGGTTTGTGGACACCTCCGACTGAGCCATTGGGCAGAATCTGGAGATGATAGCCAATCCCAACACGGCAGTAAAGCAGCTGCTGCTTGGGCCCTTCTCTAATTGGATGAGGACTGGAACCTGCATTGTAAAGAAATGATTTGATAATAAGAAAGAAATATCTGAAAACTGATTGACTGTCCATGTTTCCTGTCATGTAATAGAGTAGCTGGAAACATGTTAAAGAAACTATTTCTGATGGAATCAACTGGTCCTGTGCTAAAGAGTTGTTCAAATCCATCTTAATACAGTGCCATGTTATTGTAATCATTCATCTTAATACAGTGCCATGCGGTGTTGGGGAATCTACTTAGAAAAAGTCGTTCAAACTGCTCTTTAAAAAAGATGATCAAATTGATGATGTACATTTGAAACGAAATTATAACAAAATAAAATAGAAATTAGTCACAAGCCAGTTGATTGCAAAAAGTACCTACTTGTTCACAGGTCAGAAGATAAACTAAAAAATAAAAACCACCATCAATTTCAGCTTTGTCAGTATGACCATGGTGATTCTTCCGCAGGCTGAGATTCAGGAGGTTTATCCATGATGGTGTTGTAGCTGTGTGAACACTGAGCTACACCTGTTCTTGGGTTTTGCACTTGAACTACACACAGATGAAGTGTGTGGTGCTGACTGCCTGATGAATGCATTGCATTGGCTGCCTTCACAGCGGTCAGGATGAAAGAAAAAAGGGGGCGGGACTGGTCAAAAGGGGTTTAATTACAGTAGAGAGTAATTTAACTACTTGAATCAGTGAGAACATATGAATTTAGCTGAGCTACCTGTTTAATTACATGAAGGTAACTACTCCACAACACTAGTGCCATGTTACTGTAATCATTCACCTCACTCATACCGGCTATGAAGAGTCCTGTGAACCTGTTCTTTAACAAGTCAGTGTTGGTTGATTTGACAACAGCAATCACATGTGATGGGTGTATTATCTCCAACACTGAGGACAGGGAACATGAGCAGCTACTCTCTAAACAAACTGTGACCCTAAGCCTAAAGAGGACAGTCATGTTGTCCAACACTGTAATACTGACTGACTGATTCATGTGTGAATATTAAAACCTCGACACCCTGTGGCTGAAGGAACCCTGAAGGAAAGGCTACAGGGAGCACACATAGAGATGAGTTTCTCAGACATGGAGTTAATTTCTATCTCCCATAGCCTGACCTACTAACATTTCATCATTATCGTCATGTTTTCATATCACATCAAACTGTCCTGTGATGTAACAGCAGATGATAGAGGTTTTGGTGACTTGAAATAAAGAAGAGAAAAAAAACACGTGGGAGAGAAGAGAAATGATCAGCCATCAGCCTCATTGTTAAAACAGATAACTTTAATAATGAGGCTGCTCAGTGTAAAGTTTAAACAGGTGCTCTCTGACCTTTTCCTTTCAGCAGGGAGTCCCTCATGTGCAGCTTCCAGAGGCCTCGGAGGCGAGTGCTGTCATTCTCAGGTGAAGCCACTGGTTCTTGTCTCTTTGCTCCCACCGGTCGATGACACACACAGAAAAGCAGGAGCAGCAAGAAACCAGGCAGCAGCAGCGAAACCATAGTGAGGCACATCAAGCAGCTGCCAGCAGACCACACAACAACCTGCTACAGACAGTCATATCCACTGACAGAGGGATACAGTCTCAGGTAGAGTGAGAGTCCAGGTCCAGGTTTTGCCTCCTCTTCCTCTTCCTCTGCTGAACTCTACTGCCTCCCCTGCTCATCTCCTCCACACCCACTTCCTTCTTTTATCTCCTGTGTCTACACTGGAGCTCTGACTGACAGGGACACAGTGAGATACTCTGCTGTACACAGTCTCTATCAGTCACATATCAGTGATCCTACCAACAACAGCCTAACATGTGATGTTCTCTGAAGCTGCTGCAGAAAACAGCTGCTTTTATTGTCACTGACACAACTTCTCAAGTGCTGACCTGCTGGAATTGATCCAGTTCATATTTACTTCATCCGCTGGAGGATGAAAGTACAGTCAGACAAACTTACAACATTAACAGTTTAGTGTTCGGGTGCAGCCTGCGTACAAGGATGTGTTGTTGTGTTGCCCAATCAGATCTCTGACGGGAGAGAGACATGCAAACTGTCTGTGCAGTATCACAATCACTGAGATTGGAGAGCAAGCTGAGCTGATAGAGCAGGAAAGTCTGAGGCAGGACAACACACACACGCACACACACACACACACACACACACACACACACACACACACACACACACACACACACACACACACACACAGTTCTGGCAGGTAACCTTAAGTTAGTCATGTTTAGTATTTTCTAGGCTGTAAATACACTACAGAGCCAAAGGTAGAGTATGTGGGCACTTGAACATTAAACCCATGTCACATCAAAACCATCTGCACTGATCAGCTGCTCTATCAGCCTCCACTCTTCTGGAGTCAGGAAACCTGTGGGACCCTGGAGGTCACATGATGATACTATGAAGAGAGATGAAGCAGACTAATGATGTTCAACAAACGAGAGGCTGAGGCTGAGAGTTGAAAACAATTGACATCTGAATCTTTATCTGCTATTGTAGAGATTCTGACTTATCTTTTTATCTCCTCTCATGGATGAGGAGAGAGACCTGATCATCAAACTGATGGAGGTCTGGAACCAGGACTCTTCTGGAGAAACTGAATGACTAAGTTAGAAGGACCTGTTTCAGAAGTCCTCTGCAGAGATGGAGAAGCTGCTGGAAGGACGATCATCTCAGCATCTCTGCATCAATCAGGTTTTTATGGTAGAGAGATGAGACAGAGACACAGAGAGACAGAAAGACAGTCTGCTGGAGTCTGACTGACAGACTTTAAAGACTCTGAGAGGAACCAGACTCTCTGGACTCCAAACACCAGGTCCTGCTCAGCACCTGGATAACACCAGCCCTACAGTGAAGCATGGGGGTGGGGGGGTGTGGCAGCATCATACTGTGGGGAGCTTCTGGTCAGACCTGATGAAGGATGAATGAGACACAGAGAGAAAACCTGATCCAGAGTCCAGGAGACCTGAAACTGGAGCCGCGGTTCCCCTTTCAGCTCAATGAGGGGTCCGAAGACTTTCTGAAGCCACTGAATGTGAAAAAGTTGTGTAGAATGTTAAGTGTCTCCAGAAGGAGCTGTGTGAGTCTGATAAACATCCTCAGGTGATGTCACCTGAATCAGTGATGGACAGGTCTGAAAACACAAGTTAGAAAATGAAAACCATCTAGAGGTGTACAACTGGGAAGATGTGAGCTGACTACAACTCTGTAAGCCCGCTCCTCACCTCTGCTTCAGGCTCCAGGCTACATTAGCTGCTGCTAGTGTTACGCCCATGAAGTTCTGTACTCCAGGGGTGACACACTTTAAAGAAATTAGTGCCTGTGAGGACAAACAACAAATGCATAAAAATCACATTTACAATGTATCTAGCCTATAAGAACATCTCCCTCTTCCTGCAGCACCGCAGCCTGAGCGCTTTCTAGGTGCCTAGCAACGGTACACTGCGCTGTACTGTGAATCAGCTGCGGCTCGCGCTGTAGCTGTTATATACCGTTATATAATGTTTACTAACTGCCTAATTACAAAATAACAAATTAACAAAACTATTGGGACCTAATGACAGAATATACAAAATATAAACCACAAAACACTGTAACATTAACTTTGACACACATACATCTACCAGCGGAGGAGGGCAAACGTCACCTCTCACTCGCTTCCGTTGGAAACACTAAGCTAACATCGACAATTACAAAATTAACATATAAGCAAAATTATCAAAAGCACATAGCAATACACAAAACCGAAAACACACAATATTTACAACATGTACGACCCTTTTTCACCTAATTTACCCACCTGTGAGGACAAACAACAAAGGCACTGTGGGTGAGCTGGTCTTCAGTTGCTTTACTAAAACATTAACTGCCAACTAAATCAATACAATCATCACAATAAACACTATAATCACAATATCAAAATTACTCTATTTAAAAATACAATGAATCTATTCACCAAATATTTACAATGTTAATTCTATCTCGTTCGTTCGTCGTCTCCCGCTTATCCGGATCCGGGTCGCGGGGGCAGCAGCCTCAGCAAAGAGGTCCAGACAGCTCTCTCCCCAGCCACTTCCACCAGCTCCTCTGGGAGAATCCCGAGGTGTTCCAAGGCCAGCTGAGAGATATAATCCCTCCAGCATGTCCTTGGTCGGCCCCGAGGCCTCCTCCCTGTGGGACATGCCCAAAACACCTCCCCGGGGAGGCGTCCAGGAGGCATCCTCACCAGATGCCCGAACCACCTCAACTGGCTCCTCTCGACATGGATGAGCAGCGGCTCTACTCCGAGTCCCTCCCGGATGACCGAGCTCCCACCCTATCTCTAAGGCTGAGCCCGGCCACCCTGCGGAGGAAACTCATTTCGGCCGCTTGTATTCGCGATCTCGTTTCTTTCGGTCATTACCCAAAGCTCATGACCATAGGTGAGGATTGGAACGTAGATCGACCGGAAAATCGAGAGTTTCGCCTTCCGGCTTAGCTCCCTCTTCCCCACAACGGACCAATTCAGCGCCCGCATCACTGCTGACGCCGCCCCAATCCGCCTGTCGATCTCCGGCTCATCCTACCCTTACTCGTGACAAAGATCCCGAGATACTTAAACTCCTCCACCTAAGGCAGAGCCTCCCCCCCCGACCCGGAGTGGGCAATCCACCTGTTTCCGCTGAGAACCATGGCCTCAGACTTGGAGGTGCTGATCTTCATCCCAGCCGCTTCACACTCCGCCCAACCACCAAGCGAGAGCTGAAGGTCGGCGCTCGATGAAGCTAAGAGGACCACATCATCCGCAAAAAGCAGAGACGAGATCCTCCCGCACCAAACCCAAACCTGTCCACCACCCGGCTGCGCCTAGAAATTCTGTCCATAAAAGTTATGACAGAACTGGTGACAAAGGCAGCCCTGGCAGAGTCCAACCCTCACCGGGAACAGGTCCGACTTACTGCCGGCTACCGAACCAGACTCACACTCCTTTGGTACAGGACTTAATGGCCACTAACAAGGGCCATCCACCCCATACTCCCGAGTGCCCCCACAGGGAGCCCCTGGAGTGAGTGAACTCGAGTTAAAAATAAAATAAAAGGTTATTTTTACTGCTTCCCGCACTCTAGCCAACTGACGCTGTCACTCTAACTTTGAGGAAAAAGTGATTACCACTCCTCCTTTGAGTGCTCATAGTTTGAAAAGTTTACATGTTATGTAAAAGCAGTTGCTGTGTTTTGGAGAGAGCAGAAGTTTTCCTCCGTTTTATAGTTTGAATCACATTTCTACGTGCAGGTATGAGAGAGCTGGGTGACTCAGAAAAAAGGTGAAATTTTGTGGGTTTTTAAAGAAAATTCCAATGCATTCCTAATGCATTATTTATTCCCAGTATTTTGGGAATAACTTTGGGAAAAATTGGAATTTTAACACCAAAAGTCATAGCACCTCTTTCGGGATCAAGACGCACGTTTTGATGTATATATTACCGGGGTTTTCTCAAAGCTGCGGGACGAGTTACGCGCCAAAATTTGGCGAGGCACTCCTCTCAGCTATTCTAGCTGTAGAGGAGTGCCTCGGAGCTGAGCACCCGTGGCACTAATTATCCTATGTGCCACACTAGCAGAACACATCAGAACCTCCAACCCAGCTTTCAACAGTTGGGTTGCATTGTAGTTAATGTTGGTTTGGATAAGCAAGCAAGCTGCATCAATTGTGACTTTTTTTTTTTTCTTTAAAACATGTCCATCAACGGTCTGTTGGAGAAAAAAGTCCAGGTCCAGGCAAGAGTCTAAATCTAGACCTCTTCACCAACACTTAACTTTCAACAAAGCTGCTCTTTTACTGGAGTCAAAAAAAGAATAAAAAAGAAGTATCTGGCAAACCAAACCTTGGAAAAACCTCTCTGCACAAGAAGTTGGCCACTGATTTATAGCCTGGTCATGTTGTTGGTGTTGCTTCAATCCATCTACTAAATCTATCAACCACAACCAAAATGTATCTCATTCTTCCTATTTGCTGTACCATGTCCACATAACCTATCATTAGGTGCCTAAATGGACCATCTGGTGGCGGAATATGCACACTTGGAGTCGAAATAGCTTTCCTTGTGTTATAATGTGCATACACTTCACATTCATGCAATGTTCTATCAACCGTGGCTGCCAAAAATGGCAACCACCAAACTGCTTGTAGGCGTTTGATAACCTCCCCTCCTTGCTCAATGGTCAGAGCCATGCATATTTCTTATAGCAAAACGCAACAATGAAACAGGCAACACAAAATGACCATGAGAACTTATCCACAAACCGTTTTGAGGACCACCTTGTGTGATTTTTGATAGCCCCCCCCTTCAACCACACTGACTTCTCAAACGATCAGATCTCTCCTGTGCCTGTATTAGAGAAGATAGGGTTGTTAGAGGTTCACAATCTTCAGCTACCAACAATGGGCCCATAGTTGTGCCAACTGCTGCACATTTTGCAGCTTCATCTGCTAAATTATTGCCTTTGGCAAATAAAGAGTCT